GCTCTGTTATATCTCACCTATTTCCCACCTCTATCCCCTTGCTCACTCTGCTCCAGAGACAATGGCTTTCTGTGGTTTCTTAAATATCTAGACTCTTTCTGCGCTGGGGCCTTGGCATTCACTATTTTCTTTGCTTAGAAGGCCCTCCTCTACCACATTGCTCTCCCTATCACTTCACATCACCTTAAAGGTGTGGCTCTCCCCAACTCCCCTTATAAAACCACATCTCTTCCCTCACGCCCCTACTTTCACCCACTATCCATGTACCCTCGTCTGGCTTAATGTTTTTCCATTGCACTTTTCAGTATTTGACACACACAGATACTGCTTTATTTTCTGTCTTCCTGAACTAGAATGTAAGCTCCTTGAAGGAAGGGGGAAACTTATTTTTTTCCCCATTGCTGTACACATGGCATTGAGAACAATGACCAACACACACACAGCAACAAATGCCCAACAAATATTTGTTGAATGAATAAAAATATGGTCATTTAATTATTTGAAATATTTTAAAAAGTACTCTAAAAGTTCTAAAGCTTCACAGTTGATTTTCTTGGTTTTTAGTTATGCCAACAATTGTCGAAAAATAAAACAGATTTTTTTCTTGCCTTGCTGTTTCATGTCTCATTGAATAAACCCGAATTTTTAGAACAATGCAAAATAATGGAAAAAACAGATATCCTTGATTTGTTTCTAATTTTAACTGGAATGAAGAGACACTGGAGCAAGAATAGCAACAAATGCCTATTAGGGTTGGATGCAAATAGCAGAAGTGTGAGAAGTGGCTGGGCTGAAACAAAAGGGAGTTGGAAGGATGTGATGAATGAGAGTGTGACATGTGTAATGGCATTTAAGGTCAAAAACATTTATACTACTGTTCTTCATAAAGAAAATAGGACAGAATCAGCCAAAGGCTAGCAGGTGGGACTCAATAACGGAGGATTAAGCAGAAGAAAAGAGAATTTTAAGATGTAAAAATGTTAAATATTTGGATAGAAAGCTTTTTTAATGAGAAATAAAAAATATACACTTTAAACTATAAAGAATAATATTTATATGTTAATTAAAAATATTTTTTCTAGGAAGATAAAAATCATTATTTTGAATAAAAATATACTCCTGCATTTCAGTTCTAAGCTGTCACTTGCTTTTTTTAAAGCTTGAGTACTGAACTTCAGGTATTCGTAGATAACAAGAAGTTGAAGTAAATGATGAGTCCCAGATTATCTGCCAACTACAACAGTAAAGGAAAAAAAAACACCTTTTATTTATAAAACGAGTTTGTTAAGTTACCTGAAGTACTTGGATCACTTCTTTAGTTTCTTCAAGGCATTTATTTGATTCATTAAGTTGTGCTTGAAGTTTTGCTATTATGTCATTAGTCATCTCAAGTTCTTTCTGCATCTTTATAATCTTGCTTTCCTTATGTACAGCACTTTCTTTAGCTTCACGGAGTGAAGTTTCCAGCTCTTGAATTTTCTATTAGAAAAAGCACGCATGTATAAGATCTGCCATGTAGACAGAGTCATAGTTTATAAGTTTAAGACAAAGATAATCATATATAGGTATTAATTTTCACAGACTGCATTAACAAAGGATAGAAAAGAGAAGCCAAGTGTCACTCAATTTACACATGTATTACTTTTTTCATTTAGAAGCTGATGCTTCTTGGATTAAAAAATGCCCAAATTTTACATTTTAAGGTTTAGTGTTTATTTTATTTACTAGTCAGCATGGTGCGAAGCATATTAAATAGGCACTCACATTTTAAATTAATACTACTTAGAGTACATTTGATGAGGGAAGCTATAGCTCAGTGATAGAGTGGGTGCTTAGCATGCACAAGTTAAAATAAATAATAATAAATAAATAAACCTAATTACCTCCCCCACAAAAGACTAAAAAAAAAAGTACATTTGATAATTAGCTCTTTAAGGTAACACATCTAGCATATTTTTTCCTTTATTTTTATTACCTAGTGTTCAACTTCAGTATGCGGAAAATTGAACAGTATTTGATGAAGAGTCAGTTTCCCCACCTCAGAACCCCAGCTGACCCTGAAGCAATGATTATTAAACTCTTTCAGGGGTATTCTTCTAGAAGTTTTCTATGTGTATCTAAGCATAAGTGAGTATTCAGTTCATAAATATGCTGATCATACACCCAGTAGGAACATACTAAATATATGGTTCTGCTTAAAAAAAAAAAAGACAATATATTGTCCAGATCTTTCCATTATCAATACACATAGATCTCTCACATTTTTGTTTTAATGGATACATACATCTAATTTCAAGGAAACTGACTACTAACGAACATTAAAGTTATTTCCAGTTTTTTCCAAGTACAAAAATACCTGAATTTAAATACCTAACTTTGTTCATATTTATAAGATTATTCACATACACACATATGCAGGTTTTACTGGAAAATGTGTTTCTTTTTGGCCTACTCAGAACTTACTTTTGTTTAATGAGTGAGGCAGAAATCCAGACATTTTTTTCCAGCTAGCTGGCTTGCTGTTCTGAATCAAACATTAAGTGAATCATCTTTTCCCCACTGAGTTTACCATTATCATACACTAAACCCTCAGACTTATTTGGGTTTACTGCTGAGCACTGTTTTATTCCCATGCTCTGTTTGTCTATTTCTGCATCATTACCAAACTACTCTCCTTATCTATTTCTGCATCATTACCACATTACTGTAATTTGGCATAATTATCAAACTAATAGCATATTATTTGTTTATCTGATAGGTCACTTTCTGGGTCACCTCTGTTTCTTTATCTTATTGCTGTGGTAGATGGGTTTCAAATGTCCACAATTTTACCTCTGCCAGCTGACTGATGTCTGCAGTGATCAGCAAATCAATAAACTATACACTAGTGACCTTCTAGTTTCCACTGGTAATTATTAAATTAATGGTTGATGTTTTATTATAAGTGTTTATTTTGGTAAAAATGAGAAATTATAATTTACTCTTGGGTTCCCCACTAAGTCATTTTGTGTGCTAACAAAATTAAATAGCATTATTGCTTTACAGATTCCCAAGTAAAGGTAGTTAATAAAGTAACTGGATCATTCAAATAACATACTGATTCTTGGATACAGGTTAATCTGCTTAAGAAATCTGTTATATTTTTAGCCTCTTCTATTTTTAATTCAATTAAAATATTAACCAATATTAAAAACATTGATGACAATTAGAGAAAAGCTAAATTGCTCTTTTCCCCTAAGCTAGATCTGTACGTAGACACAGATTATCGTTTAATAGAAAGTCACATGATTTAGGAAACATAGTGTATGGTAATAATACCTTAAGTGGTGTAGGTACCTACTAATCAAATTAAGCTATGACTACTTCTGTTTCATAATCTAAAGGGAAGGTCTTAGATCATGTCTAGCTTTATAATTAGTTGAATGATGGTCACAATATTTAAAAAACAAGCCCATTACACATACACAAAGATGATCCCATGTTCCTTAACACATTCAATACTACAATTTTTCTCTGAAATGTTATATATAAATGTTATATAAGATGTTAAGTGCATTTAACTCTGTGACGAAGCTGCAAATTGGAAAACATCTTACAAGAAAGTACAAACCTCTGTGGCTTGCTGTGTAGCTCTTGATGTAACATGAAGATTCTTATCGTCTTGTGTGGTAGGATTAACAAGGGCACCAGAAGTCAGGGAGATCCTCAAAGTTTGGAAGTCTTTAAACAGTTTTTCATTATTCTCTTTCATTGATTTTAGATCATGTTCCCATTCTTTGCCTCTGGTAGCATTTCTTTCTTCAAACTCTGTTGACTCATTCATTATGGCCTATTGGATAGTAAAAACACCATTATAGGTCTAAAATGAATTACATATTAAAGAAAAATACTCTGAAAATACTAGAATTCTAGGACAAGGCATATGCTGAAATTCATTATTCAGAACATTTTAAAACAGCTTGTCTAGGGATTTCCCACATTTGCTGCCTATAACCGTGAAATAGGCTCATGTCTCACCTTGTCTGAGGCTACTTGGGGAAAAGGCTGTCCCTACAGAAGCAGTGAGAAGTGAGAAAGGAAAGAGGAGAATGGCAAAAAGATTCCAGATTCCACAAGAGGAAACTGATGGTTACACACCAAGATTTTGTTATCTTCTCTACAAGTATAAATAAGTATTTAATTTTCCTAATACATTAGATAGAGGCAGGAGATGTTTTACAGAGTCAATTTTTTTTCACAGAGCATATACAAATTAAAAAAAAATACTTAAAAGTAAGTTGCTCTAAGTTCTTTTATGAATGAGGTAGAAAAAATAAAGCAGACAACAACAAAAAGAAAGAGGTAGCACAAGAAAATTATTACTTACAATTATTTTGTTATTATAGAAGTTATTTACTTGACAAATCCTATCGTTTTCTTTCTGAATGCCGTTTTTAAGCTTTTCTATATCAAAATGAGTATTCAACCACTCCTCCAAAAACTGGGTCATTTCTTTCCTATTACTTAGTACTTGCTGAAATTCAGTCTTTATGCTATGGAAATCACTTTCCGAAAAATCCTTGAGAATTTCCTGTGAAAAATAAGCATTGAATTGCCTGAACATTGGAAAAGTCTTTATCTGTAATATCATACTAATATCATAAAAAGGGGAAAACACCTTACTGATCTCGCATTCTTAATATTTTGAAGAAAATATATTCTGACTCCTAGTCACAGATGTAGGAAGTTTTAGAAAGCATTAGCAAACTTATTCTGGGGTTCCATGAATTTTCACCTGCTGATATTACACCTATTTTCTGTATCTTTGGGGTTCTGAAAAGAGGCTAGACTATTACCTGGCACTCTTTATATCTGGCCAGCTGTCATTCTGCAACCAATTTTTAACTTTGATAAATGAAAATGACTCTAAACATGAAATGTACCTTTTCTACTTGATAAAAAGGCTTGAAATCTAAACACATTTTAAGCAAACTATACCTCAATATGTAGATCCATATTCTGGCTCAATCTGAGGTCACTTAATTCTCTGGGCGGTACATCATAATCTTGTTGAAGGTTCTGTATTTTCATTAGCAGTTCATTTTGCTTTTCTACTTCATCAATAAAAGCCATTTCAAATTTATTGACGGATTCATGTTGTTCTTCCTTTATCTTTGTAACATGGCTTAACACATACTTGTAGAAAAACATTAAACAAATTGGGAAATGAAAACTTTTATCACATTTGGATGAAATTTCAAACCTTGAGACTATGAGGTAGGATGGCATTTCTTAATTATCTATATCCTCTGGTAAGTGAGAAAGAAGGAAAGAGCCTTTATTCCCAATTTTTTCCTCTTATTCTCTTGGGAGAATAACTTCCAGGCCTTCCATATTTCTGACTTCCCCCTGGATATACCTCATGGATGTCCTACAATTACCTCAAATTCAATAGCTTTAAAATGTGCATGATTCCTTTCCCTTTTCCTATTGCCCCATTTTTGGTTAATTATATCATCAACTACCTAGGTTTCCCACCTGACATTCATTTTCAACATTGTCTGCCCATCTTGATTGGGTAACCAAAATGAGTGTGACATGCCTCAAGATTCTCTTCTCAAGCATGTTTAGATGTTTGGCTTTAAAGTGACAATAAATTGAATGCCCTATGTTTCATGGATCTCCTCAATAAGCTGTGGATATCTGAGGGGCAGTCTACCCAGGCAGGGCAGATACTCCACCTCTTCAACTTTCACCATTCCTTAACATCTCATAATTTGGCCTCTTCACTAACCACTCAACTAAAACTACTCTGACAAAAGTCATCAGTGTGTTCTATTATCAACAAATTGAGATCTCTCCAGTCCACATTCTGGCTGTCTGAAGCTTCGGCCACTCACGACCACTCATCTTTGACATACTCTCCTCCAGTGAGTTGAGCGATAGCACTTTTGCTTGGTTCTCTCCTGTCTGTTTGACTTTTCCAAACCTGAATCCACACGTTGCTCTCTTTTCTGTAACTGCTTCTTGAATAATTATCTTTTCTGGAGTTCTTATCTTATCCTCCAACTCTTATTCCTCTATTATGCTTTCTGGCTGACTTACTCAAGTTGTGCAATCTATCACCTATATGAATCCCAAATCTTTATCTTTAGCTCTGACTTTTTTCCTGACAAACTTCAGACTTTTAACTAAATGCCTACTTGGTCTTTCTTCTTGGATGTTCTATCATAGGTATTTTTACCTCACAACATTTCAAACTAAACACTTGATCTCTCCTTCCTCTTTATCTCAGTTAATGGTAACACTATTCACAAACCTGCCTAAGCCCAAATCCTGGGGCTCAATCTAAACTTCTCTCCTTTACCTTCACTACCAATCACATGGACTACTTTTTTAAACTGTTGTCCTCTCCATCCCTATGGATCTTTCCCTAGTAGCATAGTCACCCATAATATATCATCGGGACCACCGTAACTGCCTCTTGTCTCTTCTCTCGGCCACTAGGCTTAACCTCCACAAACTCATTTTTTCTTTGTAGGGAATTATCTAAAATGATAATCTGAACATATTATTGCCACTACCTTAAAATAACTGTCCAATGGCTCTGCCTCATCTACAAAATGAACTCCAAGCTTTATTGCCTGAGTCCATCTTCCACTACAGTCCTATCTTCTCTAACTTTTTATCTGGTTACGTCATATAATCTGCACATACTTCTTTTGCTACACTCATTACTTGTTCACTTGTCTGCCTCACTTACTATGAGATCCTTGAGGTGTTATTCATACCTGTCTCCTAAACATCTGGACAGTGTCTAGGCCCACAGGCAAAAGCTCAGGTTTTGTTGAATAAACAGGTCCTAGGTGCATTGAGGATATTGCACATACTGTTCTTAGACCCACACAATCTTTAATTTAGTAATAAATACACTGAATAGCAAAAATTTGCCAACACCCAAAGCAGGACTTAAACACATAAAAGTTTGTAATAGAAATTTACAGCTGTTACAAAGATATTACTAGGAAAGATGGTACCTGAAGTTTCTTCATGACTCTGTGAAATTCCATGGAACATCTCTGGTTTGCAGTGAGCAGTTTTTGAATTTGTTTGGTTTGTGGATATGGAAGTGAGAGGTTTGCTTTTACTCTAACTGAAAGCTCTTTCTGGGTTTCAATTTCCTTCTCCAAGTCAAGAGACAATCTATTTAGGCATTCATAATGATTATCCATTTCTGAGTATCTCTCAAGAAGTTCCTAAAGAAAATTAAAATTTATTCAATTTAACAATTCATTCTAATTAACAAGAAATAGTCCCAGCCCTAGAATTTTAACAAAGCTTAATGCTTTAATACTTTTTATAGGACAGAAGTTCAAAAAATTTAAACAAATATAACAAAGAAAATCAGAAACAAGCATTGCTACCATTTTGATGCATTTCCTTTTGGTCTTTTGAACATCTATGATTTGAAAGTGTATTTACAAAGTCTGAAGGGAAGTTTGAGTTAATTCAATCTAGTATGTACTGCAGCTCAAGACGGAGTGCTGGCTTAAGTTTCCAGTAGGCAGTGTGAGTGAGCACACAGAGCAAGTGACTAAGAATCAAACTAGTTATTTATCAACTTGGTGGAGCCTCTTCACACATTTCTATTACCTGCCTAGAATCCAAGTTTTCTAACCTTTGTTCAGAGTCTGAGTTCAGGTTCTAGCTCTGCCACTTGCTGATGGGGGAAACCACTGAGTCATTTTCACAATTACAAAATGAAGACTACAATAATTGCCATGGGCTTTCTAGGGGATCAAATATTAAATAATATCTATATCTATGTAATCTATAAAACATATAGACATTATGGTTTAAAGGAAATAAAATTATATTTGTAAAAATGCTTCTATACCCAAATTTTACACTTTGTCACATTTGGTTTTAAATCCTGATTCCACCAATTTACTAGCTATGTGACCTTGGGCAACCACTAAACTTCCTCTTGGAGTCTCAGTTTCTTTGTTCATAAATGGAGCAATACTACCATCTCATGAGTTGAAGCACCCAGTACAGTGCCTGCATGTGGCAGACACTCAAGGGGCCAGGGCTCATAAACTCAAGTGACTAGATGCCAGGCAGGTGACCCCTTGGTCAGAGTATGGGTGGAGGAACACGTTAAGTTCAAGTTGCTACAATAATGTACTAACATATTTAGTTCCAGGTGTTAAACTATAGAAAAAGGGGCTTCTGACAACAAGGAGCTCTCTTTAGTAAGTTAAGGAAAGGCTACGTAGATGTTCTTTAATCTGGGATGTTGGAAAGGGGATTCTGCCTTTGACTTTACAATGAATCACGTTATGGTATGGAGCACACTGTGGTCATCCACTGTACTTTTAATAAACAAAAACTGAATGCTGACTTCTGTCAGGAATTGAGCCAGGTGACACACATAAACACCACAGAAAGTCCTCAGGGACTTTGCACTCTCACAGAGGCGACAGTAACTCATGTTGCTTTGCCCTCAACATACTCTGTGTCCACACACCTCTCACTGCTTCCACTGCTGCCTCTTCAGGCTGGGCTGCCGTCGCCTTCCCTGGGTTACTGAGATTAGCTTTTCAAATGGTCCTCCTGCTTCCAATCATTTTCAACACAACAATCATAGCCATTCTTTTAAAACGTAAGTCAGATCGTGCCTCTCTGGGGTCAAATTTTCTAAGGAGTTTGCATCTTACTCAGAATAAAACCCAACGTTCTCTTCAGGCCCAGAGCCTGCTTCCTCCCCATTACCTCCTGACCTCACTTCTAATGAGCTGCTTCCCCTTCCTGATGTTCCTGAAACCCACCAGACAGGCTTTCGCTTCAGAAGCCTTGTACCCGCTGTTCCCTCTGCTTAGACTGATCTTTCCCTGGATGCCGTGTGTCTTGATCCTTTACCTCTTTCAGGTATTTGCTCAAGTATCTCCTTTCCAGCGAGGACTTAAAATCACGAACCCCTGTTTTGTGTGTGTAGTGTATGTACGTATGTGTACACATACATACTTGTACTAACGTTCAGAAAAATACTGAGTATTATCTACTCATTCCACATTAGGGCTTTAGAAGGGTATAGATATTCATTTGTAATTTTAACAGGAGAGCACTTACTTTTATCCTAAAGCACTTTTCTTTTAGCCTTTCTGTAAGATGTTGGTTTCCATCACATAGCAGTTTTTTCTCATATTTTACTACTTCTCTGTGGTTCTGTTGATCCTGCTTTGATACAAAGAAATAAAGGAGACTTCAGCTGTAACTATATTCACATATTAAATCTACTCATATACTTTCTAAATTATATTTTTATATCCTTTCAATAATGGAATTAAATATCACACATGTAACTCAAAAGTAATGCTAAAAAGGCTCAGAAAAATTCATTTAGTACATAATAGTACCACTAAGTCTTGTAGTAAGTAACCTCAACTCATTGGAAAAAGAAGTGGGAAAACCACATAGTTTTTGAAGACAGGATTTGTTCCTTTACCATTTATAGCCGCAAATTGGATTTTGCGTTTATCTCCAGTTCCTATTCTTCCAAGTCTCTGCCTTAGAATCACTGCTGCCAAATTATTTTGCTAACAAAACCAAGTCTATTACCTATGGTGTTCCAAGCCCTGTTCATATATTCTTTGAAGCACCTTGAAACAGAAAATGCATATCCTGTTTATATTCTGTATTTCTGATTAAAAGTGCAAAACAAAACACTGTTTAATAAATATTTGTTAAATGAACTGGGTCTCTATAAATTTAGTGAGGCCCACACAAAGATGATTCTCAAGTGTCTGATATTTCTACTGAAATTACAAATGATACTGCTTTCTCTTATTATTTCTTTACTATGAGACAATGATGAACATGAGAATGAAATATGAGAACAAAAAATACTTTTATAGATTTCATACAATTTCTTATTTGTCTGAATTCTATAGCGGGATTCAATCAGGTTTCTGAAGATGTGATTCTGAAATCTGAATGTCTATAAAAAGCCGTATTAGAAAAACTTCCTTTTTTATACTCATCTTGCCTTTTTTCCTTCTAACGTCTAACTAGAGCCTATGTTTAAAACTCTATTACGTAGAGGTAGAAATGAGATATTTCATCTTTCTAATATTCAAGTATTTCTCCATTGAGAATGATGCTACTTCTTGGCTTAAAAACCCTTTCAAAAACTACACTGAAGAAAATAGTCTGCTTTATTTAACAAATCTTTTCTTAAAACTAATGAATTAAAAGGTACTTTCTGAAAAACAAAAACACTAATTCAAAAAGATACATGTGCCCCAATGTTTATAGCAGCATTATTTACAACTCTCAAGATATAGAAGGAACCTAGATGTCCACCAACAGATGAATGGATAAAGAAGATGTGGTATATATTTACACAATAGAATACTACTCAGCCATAAAAAATAAAATAGTGTCATTTGCAGCAACATGGAGGGACCTGGAGATCATCACTGTAAGTGCAGTAAGTCAGAAAGAGAAAGAAAATGCCGTATGATATAACTTATATGTGGAATCTAAAAAAAGAGATACAAACGAACTTATCAGACTCACAGACATAGAAAACAAACTTATGGTTACCAAGAGTTAAAGGGGGCGAGCAGGGATAAATTGGAAATTTGAAAATTGCACCGCTTGGGGAGTGATGGAAATGTTAGACATCTTGATTGCGATAGTGGTTTCATTGCTGTACACATCGATCAAAATTCATCAAAGTGTACAACTGAAATATGTGTAGTTTATTGTACAGGAATCATACCACAATAAAGGTGTTAGAAAAATGAAATTTTGCCATTTGTAGCAACATGGATGGACTTTAGAGGGTATTATGATTAGTGAAATAAGTAAGAAAAAGACAAACACTGTACAAATAATTTATATGTGGAATCTAAAAAATACAACAAACTAGTGAACATAACAAAAAAGAAGTAGACTCACATATATAAAGAACAAACCACTGGTTACCAGTGGGGAGAGGGAATGGGGAAGGGACAACATAAGGGTAGGGATCAAGAGGTAAAAACTATTATGTATAAAATAAGCTATACAGATAGAGTGTACAGCACTGGGAATATAGTCAATATCTTACATCAACTAGAAGTGGAGTATAACCTTTAAAAATTGCAAATCACTATTTTTGTACACTTGTAATTCATATAATATTGTATATCAACTACACTTCAGTAAAAAAGTTCTTACCAAAAAAAAGTATTTTCTGAAAAACATTTTTGCTTCTTTTAAAACTGTATTTTATATTTGTGTGAAAATTATAATTAACAGTTAGTTTCCCCCATTATCATTTACTGTTTGTAGACATTTCCAGGAAATACAAAACAAAACATTACCCTTTTAAAAAGCTTGATTCTTATAAATAGTTACTAAATAGGGGAAGATTCTGAACTCACTCCAACTATCATCTGTCTTAAGGTTTCTCTGAATTGGTCTCTTTCCATTTTGAGAAACTCTTTTATCATCCTTAGCTCATCTCTTTCCTTAGCTATAATTCTTTTATCTTCAAGGCTTTCATAAAGTTTCTTAGTCAAGTGTATGTTATCCATTTTCATACTTTGCATAGATAAATTTTGGGCCTCAAATTGCTTCTTCAGTTGTCCCATTTCATTCACTTTTTTACGAATTTTAATGACATCTTCTTTCATTTTAAGAAGCTGAAGCTCTTTTTTCTGAAGTTCTTGGCTCTTGACATAATTATAAAACAAGTTAGAATGCAAACAGAATTCCTTCAAGAAAGGAAAATAGTGTCTATAGTATATGTTCGTATATAATCTATATTGACGTTATCTGTATCTATATTCCTCCTCGTTCTGTAAGTAATTCTGGAGACAGTTACTCCCCCAAAGAACAAAACACCATCTATCTTTTCCTGTAATTCATCTTTTGATTTATTTAAATCCTTTTGAATATTTGAAATCTGAGATGTCTTTCCCGAAACTCTCTGAATTTACCGATAGTTTTTTGGTGTTCTTTCAAATGCATATGAGCAATTTTTAGTTGCTCTTGTGTTTCCAGATCATTTATTATTAGAAGAAATTGAGAAATATGATATAAAGGCACATCACCTTTTCTTAACAATGGACTAGTTAAACAAAGTCTTAAAAAATACATGCTCATACTTACAAACAACCATCATGTCATCCCGCAAATTAGAACAGTACAGAGGAAATAAAGTAAAAGTTCCTGTCCTTAGCCACACCCATCCCAGTCCTGTTACATGCACTCTGCCACTTACTTTTCACATTTCATATCACTTAAGACATCTTTCTAAATCAGTATCACACAAAGAGTGTCTCATTCTTATGCTTAATACTCCACTATACAGATGAACCCCACTTAGGTTAGCCTGTGCCTTATTGGCAGACACACGGATTGTTTGTGATTTTGTTCATCACAATGTTGCAGTGAATGCGGTTGTATTTCTGCCCAAATATGTGAATATATTGGTAGGATAAATTCCTACAAGTGGAACTGATGTAGCAAATATATATACCGATAAATTTTTAAAATGATATTGTCAAACTGTCTCCTTAAAAGGTTGTAACATTTAAATTTTTACTCACAGTATCACATTTTTTCAAACCTCTTTTATTAAAAACACGCTCACTTGACAGGAAGAAAGAACACAACTCACTCTAGCTATGGTTCCTTGTAGGTCTGCCTTGAGTCGATCTCTCTCCAGTCTGAGAGTCTCTTCTGCTCTCCTTAGGTCATCTCTTTCTTTCATTACAGATTTCATTTCTTCAAGGCTTTCATGAAGTTTCTGGGCCAAATTTAAGTTCTCCATTTCTATTTTATTCAGAGTTAAACTCTGGGCCTTAAATTCTTTCTTTAGTCTCTCCATTTCACACATTTTTTTCTGTGTCTCACTGACACCTTCTTTTAACTTAAAAAGTTGATGTTCATTTGCTTTAAGTTCTTGGATCTTAAGATAATCATAAAATAACATGTCAGGATATAGATGGTTTCTTAGGCAGGATAAAGAACAGTTTCTAAACTGATTGAGACAATAGTCTTCCCATGTCACTCATTAATATTCTGCATAATTCCACAGAGGATTTACTTTCTTTTGAGGTATAATATACGTAATTACACACTAATCTTATGTGTATACAGCTCAATTATTCTTGACATATGTATACAGCTATGTAACTACAAGTCAGATTAAAATATAATATAGAGCATTTACTTACCTTACTATAAGGTTCTTGTATGCCCCTTTTAGAATGAACCACTATTCTGACCTTTACCATCCTATATTAGTATGCCTGCTTTTAAACTTAAAAATCACCATGTATTTATCCGTTCTCCTTTGATAGGCATTTAGGCTGTTTTCAGGTTTTTGTGATTATGATTGCAGCTGCTGCGAACATTCTTGTACATCTTTATGTGGAAGTGCGCACTCCTTCCTCTTAGGTTACATACCAAAGAGTGGGAATGCTGGGCTATGGGCAGGTATATGATATGGTTCAGTGTTAGTAAACACTACCAAGCTGTTTTCTAACGTGGCTAAACAATTTTATATCCCCAAAGGGTTTTAGGCATTACTATTTATTCTAGTAATAAATCAGCTATCCAAACAAATAGGCCCCCTGCCCCCTTTAATACCTTTTCTTGTAATTTAGCATTAGAATTTTCTAAATCTATTTTCATAGTTGATATTTTATCCGTCTTCTCAAAAACAATCCCTCTGAGTTTATCAATAATTTCCTGGTGCTCTTTCAGATGGACGTGAGAAATTCTTAGTTCCTCTTGCTTTTCCAGGTCCTTTATTATTAGAAAAATTTCAAAAACAACGACATATCTTAATGTTAACTAGTATTTTCTTTTTAATGAAAATGACACATTTTCTTAGTAAAAATAATAAATCTTTTACTTCTTACACTACATCTTTGAGGTTGTTAGAAAGTTATAGGCTTTCCCTGCCCCACCCTTACCTCCCCACATTGTATTCATACTTTTCAGAGGCAAACATACTGCTCTACAGCTTACTTTTCCTTGTCAGGGTTATTTTGGGCTTCAAATTAGGACATTTAAATCTATTTCATTTTTTTAAGGGTTGCATAGTATTCTGACATAATGGTCCTATTTACCCAGTTTCTTCGTGATGGACATTCAGGTTGCTTCCTATCTTTTAAATCACAAATCGCTATGATGAACCACCTTATGGTGTATGTATGTGTTTACATACATATATCTATTTTTTCCTTTATCTTAACAACTGAGTAAGTGTACATATAGGATAAAGTCCACAAAAAAAAAATGCTGGTTACAGAATTTAAAATTTTCAACAATGATACCAAATTACCTACCTAAAAGGTAATCAGTTCACTCTCATCCAAAGTACCACTCATTTCAAAGAAGGGTTCATTGATGGAAGGAAAACATCACAGTTACTCGCTGGGAAGAGGAATGAGTGTAACTTACTTTAGCTTCTGTTTCTCTGAGGCTTTCCCTGAGCTGGTCTCGCTCCATTTTGAGGATTCCCTCCATTCTTCTTAGGTCATCTCTTTCCTTAGTAACAGATTTTATTTCTTCAATGTTTTCATGAAGTTTTTGTGTCAACCTTAATTTCTCTGTTTCAATACTTTTGTGAGTTGAAGCCTGAGCCTCCAATTGCTTCTTTAGTTGCTCTGTTTGATCCATACTTTCCCTGAGATCATTTTTCACCTTAAGAAGTTGATTTTCTTTCTCCTGAAGTTCTTGGATCTTAAGATAATCATATAATAGGTTAGGATGTAGACAGATACAGAGAAAAAGAGAAAAAGCTGAAGAATAGTTTCTAAATTGAATAGGCAAATCTTTACTTATTTCAATATTAAACACTCATATCCTATTTCATTATACAAAAGATCTGATCTAAACTCTCAGTTACTTAGATATCAGAAGAAATACCTGTGCCTTTAAGGCGGTTTTTGTGTTTTCTAAATCCACTTGGATATTTGATATTTCATCTGTCTTCTCTGAAACAGTTCCTTTGAGTTTATTGATAGTTTCTTGATGTTCTTTCAGACTCGTGTGGGCAATTCTTAGTTCCTCTTGTTTTTCCAGGTCCTTTATATTAGAGAAAGAAAAATAATACATTCAGAATAATACAATTCAACAGTGCGTAGAAAAGCATAGGGTTAGAAGTAAAAATTCCCCTCCCTCTTTAGGCCCCACAGTTCTCTTCCTCTAAGTGACTTTTAGATGTCAATATATTCCAGATATACTCCTCCATAACTTACTTTTTCTCCCCATCAGGATTATTTCTAAATCAGTTCTACTTCACTCTTTACCTGGGGCTTGCTATTCCATGGTCTGAATGTGCTGCATTTATTTAACCAGTCCCTACTAATGGATAGTTAGAATTTTTTCCTTTTTTTGTTTTCTTTTTTTCAATTTTGTTATTGCAACTTGCTGCAGTGAATATCGTCCTAGAAATACTTTTTGTACAACTGTGCTAATGTGTACAAGATAAATAGCAATTACTGGACTTTTTGGGTCAATGCATACACTTACTAAAAAATTTGGAAGATACTATCATATATTCCTCCTTCAGCCTTCCTCAAGGTTGGATCAATTTTACATTCTCACCAACTCTATCACTCATGGTTCTTTTAAGACACAATGTGATATTTTCTAGTTGAGGAAAGATGGTAACTCACTTTGATTATGGTTTCTCTTAGGTTTTCATTGAGCTGGTCTCTCTCTACTTTGAGAGTCTCCTCCACGCTCCTAAGGTCATCTCTTTCTTTTGTAACAGACTTTATTTCTTCAAGATGTTTGTGGAGTCTCTGAGTTAACCTTCTGTTCTCCATTTCTGTATTTTCCAGAGCTGACTTTTGGGCCTCAAGTTGCTGCTTCAAGTTTTCTATTCCACACATTTTGTCCTGAGTCTCACTGACATCTTTCATCTTAAGAAGTTGATGTTCTTCTTCTTGAAGTTCTTGAATCTGAGATAATCATAAAACAAGTTAGGAGACAGGCATACATTTTTAGTAAAAAAGAATTTTCTAAATTAAGGCAATCATTTTTACATTTTAGTCTAATGTATACACTATTTTCTTCCATAAGGTAGATGAGGAATACAATAATCAGATGTCATTTTCCAACTTAACCAAACAAGACCTACCTTTTCCTGTAATTCATCATCTGAATTTCCTGAGTCTCTCTGAATATTTGCTCCTTGATCTGTCTTCTCGGAATTACTCCCTGCATTAATGGTTTCTTGGTACTCCTTCAGAAGACCGTAAGTAGTTTTTAGTTCATCTTTGATTTTCTGTCCCTTTATGATTGGAGAAAAATTATTAAAACTTAATAGTGAACATCATCATTATCACCTTAACACTGTTTTTATATCCAAAAAACATTACAAGAGGGAAACTCACTTCAGCTACAATTTCTTTAATGTTTTCTTTGAGTTGGTCTCTCTCCATTTGAAGGGCCTCCTGCACTCTTTTCAGTTCATCTCTTTCCTTAATTATGGTTTTTATTTCCTCTTGACTTGCCTGAAGTCTCTCAGTCAACTCGAGCCTCTCGCTTTCTATTCTTTGTAGTGATGAATCTTCGGCTTTGAGATGCTCCTTTAACTGTTCCAGTTCACTCATGTTTTCCTCAGTCTCACTGACTTCTTTGATCCTAATAACTTGTTCCTGTCTTTCATGAAGCTCTTGAGTCTTAAGATAATAATAAAATAAGTTAATAGCCAAAAATATACATATGTACACACATATAAACGTGTGCTTATTTATGTGTATATTTGTATGTAAATATACTTTTTTTTAAGGAAAGAAATCCAGGATGCTCTCCAAAACAATTAGGAGGTAAACAGTAGTCTTTGTAAGCCTGTTAGCCACCTCCTGTAACTTTTCTCCCACTGTTCCTTCACCCCCAATTTACCTTTTTCTGTAATGCATCATTTGTTGTTTCTAATTTCTTTTGAATGCTTGATATTTCAGTTTCCCTCTCTGAAAGATCCACTCTGAGTTTATCAATAGTTTCCTCCTGTTCTTTCAGGTGACAATAAGCAACTTTAAGTTCTTCTTCCATTTCTAGGTGCTTTATTATGAAAGGAAGTTGTAAGAAATTTGAAAACATTATTATCATTACACTATAACTAATTCCTTTTCCTCAGAGGTTTATTTTTTACTAAGATACTTGCTTACAGAATATTAAAAAAAAATACAACAGACACACACATGAGTGGAAGGATGAAACTTACTTTAGCTATCATTTCTCTTATGTTTTCTTGGAGTTGGTTCCTTTCAGATTGAAGAACTTCTTGTAGCCTCTGTAGGTCATCCCTTTCCTTAGCTGTAGATTTCACTTCATCATGACTTTTCTGAAGCCTCTCAGACAACTTGAGCTTTTCCATTTCTAGCCTTAGTAGTGCTGAATCTTTGGCTTTGAGTTGCTCCTTCAGTTGATCGGTCTCACTCATAATTTTCTTAATCTCATTGTCCTTTTCTTCCATATTGAAGGACTGTTCTTGTTTGTTTTGAGATGCTTGGATCTTAAGAGAATCATACAACAATACAGTTGATATCCAGAGATACTTTATTTTATTTTAGGGAAAAAGAAGTAAGGATACTTTCTAAAACAATTAAGTCAGGGATTCAATGGCTCATTTACAGAGCAATCTTTCCACTCATCTACTCTTCCATTACTCAGATATTTAATACTTATTTACTGAGAACTCACTGTGCTGTCAATATCCTATTAAGCTGGAGGTGAAATGGTAAATGAGACTTTACATGATCTGTTTTTTTGAGACTTACATACTTTAGGGGAAAAGACAGATATTATACCAAATCTTACCAAACAGAGGAGCTGGGTTCTTTCAGGGTACCAGTGGCAAATCTAACTTACTGTGAGTGGTTAGGAAGGGCTTTCCGGGGGAACGAAAGCTTCAGTTGAGATATGAAGGCTGTGAGCACTAGTTAGGCAAAGAGGGGTATAGAAATACAAGAAGGAAGACTAGAATATCTGGAAGCCATGAGATGAGAAAGAGCAGTAGACTAGAGCTGTTGAAGCACAATGAGCAGGAGAAAGAGTGAGATGAAATAGGGCTAGAGATCAGCCAGGTCTGGGATCCAGGGTCTTATAGACTGTGTGAAGGATGCTGGTCTTTATTTCAAGAGTAACAATAAGCTATTAAAGGGTTTTAAGAAGAAAAGATCCCTTGGGCTCAGTTTGGAGAATGAATTAGAGAAGTATGAAATAAATGGGGAGACCAGATAGGTGGCTAATGCAGAAATTCAGGGAAAGAAATAATCATGGCTTGGATTAGGCCGTCAGCTATGTGGAGAGAAGAGGGGAAGGATTTTACACACATATACACACCCCCCTTAAAATCAACAAGGTTTGGTACTTGGATTACAGAGTGAGTAGGGTGGAAGGGACAGTAGTAGGGATGATTCTGGATTTCTGACTGGATCAATGAGGAAGATAGTAATACCTCATGAAATGCTGGAGAAACAGGTTTAAAGAAGGAAAGAAAATAGCATTTTTGGCTTTATCCTTTCCTGTAATTTGGCACGGCCTTTTCTAAATCATTTGGAATAGTCTCTTCCCTGACACATTTCCTCTGTTTCAATAGTTTCTTATTATTTATGAGCAATTTTTAGTTATTTCTGTTTTCAATCACTTAATAATTTAAGAGATGCTTAAAGAAAATTGGTAATAACATTATAACTACAAATGCCCCCTTTCCCCAAGACTTGATATTTATAAAACACTTATTTAATGGGAGGAAAGGATGAAACTTACTTTAGCCAAAGTTTCTTTAATCTCTTCTTTTAGCTCGTCACGTTCAACTTGAAGTGCTTCGTTTGTCATTTTAAGGTTGTCTCTTTCCTTAGTTAGAGATTTTATTTCTTCAAGACTGTCTTGAAGGTTCTCAGTCAACCTGAGCCTTTCCGTTTCTATATCTGCCAGTGTTGCTGAATCCTTGGCTTTGGACTGTCCTTTCAATAGCTCCAGTTGATCCACTGTTTCCTGAGTATCACTGACTTCTTTCACATTAGGAAGTAGCTCCTGTTCCTCATGAAGCACTGGGATCTTGTGATATTCATAAAATATAGAGAGTATTATCATAATTCTTTAAAGGGAAAAGGTGAGACTACTTTCCATAGCAATGAAAGTGACCTTGAACCCTCACGGTCTACCATAGAGTACAAATTCCTATTTATTCATTTTCACTTGATTCCTACTAAAGCTATTCATGACTTTTCTGCTAGTCACATTCTGTCATAATTTTCTTTTTCTCCAGCTTATATCCAAAGTGAACTAATCCTTATATTTACCAACAAATTATTAATCCAGTCAGTTGCATACTTTATTTCTATACTAGTTCCCAAATGCAGGAGAAATTTCAGAGTTGAGCAGATTATATCCCAATAAATGAATGGCCCCCATTCTCAGATGAATGCTAATGTTACTTCATATATTTTTTATGGGTACAGATTGATCCCCCTTTCCCATGACCACTAGTGGTACCATATAACTTTGCATATCATATTTCTACACTTATCATACTGGAATTGAGGGATTTTTTATATGCCTATAATGGGGAAAAAGAAGACTGTCTTATTCATATCCACAGTCTCAATGCCTGGCACATAGTAGGCTTTTAACACAGGTTGGTCCGGTTACCCCAGTGCTTCATTTTCTCCATGGCATTTGCCATTATCTCAAATTATCTTGTTCATTTGACTGCTTATTCATTGATTACTTCTTTCCACTGCAAAGTAAGTTCTGTGATCACAGTGATTTTGTCCACCTTGTTCCCATTTTATTTCTATAACCCAGGCCTGTACCTCCCACATTAGACACTCAACAACTACTATACAATAAATAACTCAGTCACTGTCTAATGCTTATCATTCCTTCAAGGAGAAAGAAAGGAAGAAGGGACAAGGAGGAAAGGAAGAAAATACAAACCTTTTCTTGTAATTCAGTATTTGCTTTTTCTAAGTTCTTTTGAATATTTATTATTTGAGCTGTCTTCTCAGAAACGTTTCTTCTTAGTTCTTCAATAGTTTCTTGGTGCTCTTTTAGATGCATGTGGGCCATTTTTAGTTCTTCTCTTGTTTCTAGACCCTTTATTAGCAAGTGAAATTTAAAGAATAATTATAACAACATCATCCCAACATTGCCTACCCTTTTTCAATTGACTCAGATTTTAAGAAAACATTTAATAGATGAAAGAAAAGGGTATGACTTACTGTAACTTCAATTTCTCTTATGTATCCTTTAAGTTTACTTCTCTCTGTTTCAAATGACTCCTGTAATTCCTTTAGATTGTCTCTTTCCTTGGTTATGAATTTCATTTCCTCATAATTTTCATGAAGTTGCTGAGCCAACTCTAGCTTCTCAATTTTTATACGTTCCAATGATAATTCTTGGTTCTTTAATTCATTCTTTAAATTTTCCACTTCACTCATCTTTTTCTGCATCTCACTCATTTCTTCTCGTACACTAAGAAGTTGCTGCTGTTTTTCTTGGAGTTGTTGGTTCTTAAGGAATAGTTTTTATAATTAGCATTTTGTCTATACTCTCTTAAAATTCTTGTGTAAAATGTACTTTGTGGAACTGAAATAATCATCATCATAGCCCTGTCTACACCCCAATATAAACAATTAAGTAGCATTAAATGTAAAGTAACTTTCTAGGCATAGTGTCTATATTGGGTCCTACCCCAAATTCAAGTCTACCCAGACCCTCAGAATGTAACCTTTTTGAAAACAGGATTTTTGCAGATGTAATAAGTTAAGGATTGAGAAGGAGTATTCTTGGATTAAGGTGGGGCCTAAATCCAATGAGACCGTCCTTATAAGAGACAGAAAAGCACAGAGAGACACAGAGAAAGTCATATGAAGATGGAGGCAGAGACTGGAGAGATGCAGTTATTAGCCCAGGACCACCAAGGACAGCAGGGAGTCAAGGACAGCAAGAGGGAAGAAAGGATTCTTCCCTAGAGCCTGCAGGGGGAGCTCGGTTCTGCCAACACCTTGATTTTGGACTTCTAGGATCCAGGACTGTGAAAGAATAAATTTCTGTCTTAAATAAATAAATTTAAGCCATCAAGTTTATGGTAATTTGATACAGAAGCCTTAGGAAACTAAGATAGTCCCACTAGGTTAATCAAGGAGGTAAAGTGAAAGTGAGAAAAATCAAAAAAGGAAAGAGATGAATTAAATATACAGATATAGCTGCCAAATAACTGTAATTCTTTTTCTCTTAAAAATTTGGAAAATTTATTTCCATTTCCAATAAGGTCCATACGGGGTGGCTCAAAGAAACAACGAGGCATTAACTTCTACGTAAGCTTATTGATTTCACTTCTTTAGGAGGAATATGAAATAGACATAAGGTTTTACTATATTCAGTTAGGTTATAGTAAAAGGGATGAGAATTAAGAGAATACATGTTAGGAAAAAAATACAGAAGCACAATGGAAATCGCAATGTATCACCTATAATGCATGTGGCACTGCTCCTAGGATATACAGAAAGATCACAATGGGTGCATTTTAGAATTACTTGGGAAGTACAATTGTTACAACAGCCTTAGCTCTTCTACAAATATTTCAACAGCCCTTACTGCAAACATCTAAAAGATGGTAATACAATAACCCTTTGGTATTCACAGGGGATTGAGTCCAGGACCCCTGTGGATACCAAAATCTGAGGATGCTCAAGTCCTTAATAGAAAATGACTCTGCACTGGCGTATAAACTACAAACATCTTCCCTTATACTCTAACTCATCTCTAGATTACTTGTAATACCGGATACAATGCAAATGCTACGTAAATAGTTGTAAATACTATGTAAATGTTATGTAAATAGTTGCCGGTGCTTGGCAAATTCAAGTTTCACTTTTGGAACTTTATGAATTTTTTTTTTCCTCTGAATATTTTTGATCTGTGGTTGATTGAATCCACAGATGCAGAAACTGCAGATATGGAGGGCTGACTGTAGTGATAAATCTTACATTTTAGAGAATGACTGATATATTTCTATAAGAGCAGGCTCTTTGTTTTGTTGACTAACGTATCTCAAGAGCCCAGAACAATGCCTGGCCCAGGGCAGTGCTCAATATAAACTTGAATGAACATATCAAATGATTAGTTCAGATGAATGAAGGCTCTGTCTCTCACGTAAAGACTAGAATAATATAATCTTCACAAAGGATGTTAGTTAACATCTCAGTAGGAGTTGAAGTTGTTCCAACTATTAGCATTAAGATCTGTTCATTTGAGAGGTATGTGTTATTTCTGGAATTCACGTCTACTGGAGTCAAATCTGTAAACCTCCCCCAGCTCCACCCTGACACAAAGTTAAGTCAGGAAAAATGACCAAGAAGATAACTTTAAAAAGTCACCTTTTCCTTTAGCTTTTCTTCAACTTCTGCCAGTTTCTCACAGGTCCTAGAAAGCTCTTCTTCTTTCTTTATGGCATGGTTCTTTTCTTGTGTAACTCTCTCTTGTTGCTTTTTAAGTTCATCTCCAAGAATTCTTAATTCTTCTTGGTTTTCAATGGTCTAGAATTTTTAAAAAGTTGAGATTAAAATGAATAATACTAGCTTACATTTATGAAATCAGGTAAAAATAAGCATTTACTTCAGCCTGAAAAGGAACTCATGGCAAGCTATATTGGAAAACACTACTTAAAAAAAGAGTCTTCAATTTAACCGTGTAAATGCCAGGAATCTGCTTTTTTATGCTGTTTCTTTATTGCTCACCTTACATTCTTATCAGAAGAATTAGAACTGGATTCAGCATTCTATCATGAGGGGTTTGCTCATTTTTCTACCCCTAAGACAAAACAGACTTTCTAAGCTTTTGTTGACTGAAGGTGACTCTCTCTTTTTCTCTCTCTCTGTATATATATGGTTATGAGCTTTTCAAATGCTGGAATGGCTTTGGTTTTGTCTACTGATTAATAGTAAGCTCAAAATGGCAGCATCTTTTGCTAGCATGAGGTGGGGTATTTCTAGTTGTTAAGCTTAAACAGTGACATTCTCAAGTATTAAGACCACAAAAATATTATATGCCAGAGACTGAGAAGACATTATGAATTTTGTCTGTATTCTTATTTACATTCAGCAATTTTGATCAAATAGAAGACAATCCCAATAAACATGGAAAATTATACAAAAGGTCAGGTTCTACTGAGATCCACAGCAAACTTCTCAAAATAGTAATTTCAATCTATACACATGATACTGTCCCTAAACTTAAAAACAAAAACTAAAGTAGGCAAACTAACAACAGACAATTAAAAATGAAATTTAAAAAATTACAACAGTATAAATAAGAGAGAGATATTTAGGAACAAATTCAACACAATATGGAAAAGACTTGTACCCTAAAGTCTATAACACATCACTGAGAAGAACACATAATTTATAGAAAGATACACAATGAAGAAGCATGGAAAGATGCTCAATATCTTTAGTCATTAGGGAAAGGCAAATTAAAACAATGAGGTACACACCTAATAGAATGGCTAAAATTAAAAACACCAATAACATGAAGTGTTGGTGAGGATGTGGAGCCACCAGAATTCTCTTAATTTGCTGATGGGAATGTAAAATGGTATAACTACTTTGGAAATCTGTTTAATAAATTTTCATCAAGTTAAATATAACTTCCTTATGACCCAGCTATTCCATTTAGATATATACCCTAGAGAAATTAAAAAACATACACTCATAAGAAGATTTTATATGAATATTTCCAGCAGCTTTATAAAAAAGCCAAATATGGAGATAATTCAAATTTTCCCCAATAGGAGAAAGTCTAAACAAATTGTGGCCTATTCATACAATGGAATACTACCCAGCAATAAGCAGGATAGTAGAAAGAAGACACAAAAGAATGTATGCTGTGTGATTCTATTTGTATGAAGTTCTAGAAGAGACAAGGTGATTGAAGGGAAAAAAAAACCAAACATAAGGACAGTGACTATATGTATGGGGCAGAGGGTGAGATTAGGATTGAATAGGTTGGGTCAAGGGAATTTTTTGGGGTGATGGAAACGTTCTATGTCTTGACTGAGGTGGAGGGTACACAAGTAGAGACATTTTTCAAAAGTCATCAGACTGTACACTTGCATCAGATACATTTATTCCATGGAAATTATACCTCAGTATAGTTGTAAAAATCTAAAACATACAAAGATAAAAAGGTATTGGTAAGTATATAGTGCTGAATCCTACCATTTCAATGTTTTCTCTTAGGTCAGTCTTCAGCTGTTCCTTTTCTGCTGTAATACTCTCTAACATTTGCTGCAGTTCATTTTTCTCTTGTATTAAAGAAAATATGTTTCTCTGTTGCTCAGTTAGTTCATCATTCTCATCAGCTGCAATCAGTGCTTGGGTTATTTTGGCTTCCAAATTCTGTGTTTTATCTATGCCAACCATCTAAAATATAAACACAAAGAATGTTTAAAGAATTTTTTAGTTAATAATTTTAATAATAAAAGAATTAAAGAATTTTTTAGTTAATAATTTTAATAATAAAACTAGTCAACATTTGTATTACTTATCATGTACCAGGCACTATTTTCATATATTGACATATTTAATCTTCACTATAACCTTATGAGGTAGGTTATTATTATCTCCATTGGACAGATGAGGAAACTGAATCCCAGAGAGAATAGTTACTTGCGGAAGGTCACCCAGAGAGGAATAACCAGGCTTTAAACCCAATGGTCAGGTTCCAGTTTGTGCTCTTGTGACTGTTCACTGATAAGAACTGTCTGAACAGATATAGATAATTAACAATTATCTTCAGGTATGATGGGTTAACCTGACTTTAAGAAAAAGTTAGCCACCTGAACTCTATCATTTTTTCTTTCCTTTAAAAGCTGGAAATCATTACCTATTCCCAACAAATCATTATTTTCAGAGGCTGTAACACTCACCAAAGCAGGAGTTTTATTACGTGTAGAGGGCAAAATGATTTTGATAGAAATATATCTCATGTTATAATAGCAAAATTCATTTTCTCTTAATATTTGATTTTCATTTACTACTTTAAAAAAATCGTTATATAAATTCATATCTCCATAAGTAAGTTCTAACCAAAGGTAACCTAAAATGTGAACTCCTTGGTAAAAGGAGACAAAGACTGACATTACAGTTGTTGGCATGAAATTAATGTCACTATATAACCTTACACTAGGCCCAATAAATACATTCAGTTCCATATTGGCTACATATGTTTTTAAAGGTTTTTATAATAACCTATAATTAACATTAGAAAAAAATTTAAAAAATAAAGAGAAAAAAATGTTCCAGTGTCACCAACACAACCACTATTAGAGTTCTGGAATATTTCATTCCAGATTTTTTCCCATTAACATTTTTTTAAACATAGCAAACAATTAATTTACACATATAGGATTTTTCAGCTTTTCTTTTCTACTTAGATGATATGCATTTTCCTATCCTGTTACATAATCTTCAAGTTATTATTTTTAGTAGTTGCTCCATTCTCTAGAGTGGATATGGACAAACCAAACTTTGTCTAGCTACCCTCTTAGTGTTGGCAATATGCAGGAGCTTCTGACAATGGTGGGCACAGAGTTAATGACATGAGAAATTAAGGCAGGGAACATACGGTCTTTGGTACCAAATTGTCAGACACTGTAATTCGGAATCCTGTATCTTTATTCCTAAACAAAGGAATATACACAAAGACAAAGCTGATGGAGACAAAGTATTCTATAACACCACACTCAAGGTACATTTCAAAACTGAACTCAGCCTAGAAGTTTTTCAGCTACCAAGGTTATGAGTAAAATCTAATTTCTGTTGAAGACACACTAGAGAAATTGCATTTCCAAAAAGAGACACATCAAGTAGGACTGGACATGGGCACTCCAAGGGGATTCCTGATAGGCCTACTAATGGAGTTCTGTGGTACCCAGATGGATAGAGGGGCCCCTAGAAATTCCAGACCCATTCTTTTATCCACATGAGTGATTCCAGCATGAACATGATTATCACAAGACCAAGGTGAACTCAGCCTTTCAGTCCAGATTTCAAGAACTCTAATGTACAGAATGGCCCCTAAGAATCCCAAATGACCCTTTTATCAACATGATGGTTCTAGAATGAACACAATAAGAGCCAGTTGGTCCCAGTAAGTATAACTCTTCTTTCTCCTTTCTTCTCTGTTGCCTCTTTCTCATGGGGCCCTATGATTACATTTTGCATTTGTTTAAAAGCAGCTATAAATTGTTGTATTTTATTTTAAAAGATCTGTCAAAAAAACCTTCCCCTTATGAAAGTGGAAGTTACAAGTTTCAAATCAAGGTCAAGTACTTTTGGCCCACGGTTGACTCAAATTATAGACAGGCTGAGAATACAAGGTAACAGAGGAAGTAAAAATGCTTTTCTAGGACAGAAGGGTTCAAGCACAGGAAGAAAGAAAACAAGGCTGCTTTTCCAAGGCAGGAATATTGTGTGCCATGGTAAATGAGAAAAAAGAAGCTAATTTAGACTACATCAAAATAAAAAACTTCTGTGCATCAAAGGACACAATCAACAGAGTGAAAAGGCAACCTACGGAATGCAAGAAAATATTTGCAAATCATACTACTGAGAAAGGGTTAATATCCAGAAAAATATAAAGAACTTTTACAACTTAACAAGAAAACCACCCCAATTTAGAAATGAGTAAAAACTTGAACAGACATTTCTGCCACCTGAACTCTACCACTTTATTTAAAGAAGATATACAAATAGCTTACAAGCAGTCTGTTATATTTTGTTATGGAAGCCCTAGCAGATAAATACATCCCCACTTTAAAAAAATCACCGTTAGCATCTAGCTTTCCTTGTATATAATTAAATAACCAGTTAAGGTCTCAAGACAAAATGAACCACACTACCTAGAATGAATTATGGTAAGAGTAAAGCACCTAATAGCAAAATTATGGCCCAAACGCTAGAAAGAGGCACAAGCACGACACACACATCGAATCTCTAGCAAACTCTAAACAAGTATAGTATACAAAATCTGATATAAAACAAATTATTTTAGCCATTCTTAATAATAAGCACTCAATCTTTCTTACATTCTTAGAATTCAGAGGTGCTTTTAAAAATGTATAAATTACATCAGGCCTCAGAAAAATATCAGCTCAAAGTTTGAACTAGCATTTTTTGTCTTTTCTTTTTCAAACTGATAATAAGCAGCTATAGTTGAAATTATCTAAAAGATATCAGGATTAAGCTTGTAAAGTATTCTGAGTTATTACCACAGTGAATACTAAATTAGACAGAGATTACCTATCTGTATTCAAGTGTTTCAGGTTAAGTTTAGAAAGCTCACATACAAGTATATGAAAACCTGAATAGGAACACCCTTTACCTTTTCCAGAAATTCATCCTTAGTTTCCCCTAAGTTTTCCTCTGTATGCAAATTCTTAGTAGTTCCCTCAGAAATTTTCATCTTCAGTGTGTTAATTGTTTCTTGGTGTTGTTTCAAAGACTCAAGAGCGTTTCGTAATTGTTCCTGGGTGTCTATGTTCTTCGTCAGAGAAACAAAATAATTTCCATTAGAATGTCAAACAATGAGACTAATTTTATAGTTATTGCTTGATCATACATAATAAATGATGGCTCCTGTAATGTTTTTAAAGAGGCTCTGAGTTTTCAAAGTTTAAACAGTCAAAATCTTACCATATTTACAGTATCCTGAATGTCACTTCTCAGTTGGTCCCTCTCGATTCGCAGGCTCTCTTGGAGTTGTTTTTGGTCATCCTTTTCTTGGGTTAAGGTTTTTACTTCCACTAAGGCTTGTTGAAGTTTCTCAGTAATCAGTGTTTTCTCCTTTTCTACAGTGTGCAGCCTAGAATCTCTACTTTCTAATTGTTCCTTCAGCTCTTCCACTTCCTTTAACCTTTCTTGATGCTCAGTTGTTTTCTTCTCAAGTTCTTGGGTTTTGTGAGACAGCTGTAAGATAAGAAAGAGTCAATGTGAAAAGCAGAATATTCTACATTGTATATATGGAAGCCAAACCCCAGAAGACTAAAGATCCCTTCCCTAGAAGATGTCTTTACCAACCTCTGTCTTCAAATCACCCAAACTTAAACCAAGTTCTTGAACTTCTTTAGAGAGATTTCCTATTTCTTGATTCAGTCTTGCATTCTCCTCAAGGACCATCTTATACTTTTGCTCAAACCCAGTATCATGATTTTTAAAATCCTGGAATTCTTGGTTAGTGCTTTCATAATTCAACTGGGAAGTTGCCAGGTTATTTTCAGTTTTCCCAATTTCTTCAAGTAAATCTTGAATTCTACTTCCCTTATGAACAACTTCAGAAAACAATTTGTCTTTTTCTGATGTTATTATACAGAGTTCTTCAGATTTATCATGTAGCTATGGAAAAGAAAGAAAACTTAGCTATATTAGCAGTATATGATCTACTTAGCTTTCAGGGAAAAAAAAAACAACTTACTTTGCCAAAAAAGAAAAAAGACATTGAAACTAAGCAAAGGTTTGATTGACTGAGAAAAGGCAATACAAGTAATTGTTGGTAACAATATATTACCCTGTTTAACTTTATCTTCAAAGTTTGTTTTCCAGCCTCTGGTTCTAAAAGGATTGCATGGAGAAGGACATCCAGTAGAAACGCAATCAGGAGGTGTCTTTACTTCCTTATCTATCATTTTAAAGTATTTTCTAACTTTCTGGTATGGTAGGCATTTTATGATTTTCCTTAGAATTTGACTTATATTGCTAACAAACTGAGTCAAACATTTACAGTCTCTTTCCTGGTCCTTTCAAATAAAATGTGGCAAAACATTTAATGCACTATTGCAAAGGTTTTTATTTCAAAATAATGTTGTTTGCTTAAAAATGTGTTTACCTCTTTCCTTAGCATTTCTACTTCTGAGGGTAAAGATTTCAATTCTGAGAGCAAAGTAACTTCTTTACGCAAAGCTTCATTTTCTTCAACTTCTTTATTCAGTTCTCTCTGGAGATTAGTAATGTTTCTTTCCAATTCCAAATTAGAGAGCAAATCTAGGAAATTTTTAGTGAGTTAAATAAAACACCTTGCAGTTATTGGGTCAATTTAAATTATATACATGGTTAGATTATTTAATCAGATTATATAAAATTTACTAAAGAAAGAGCCAGTGTTGGTAAACAGTTAATCTAATTGTTAATCATCCTTTCTAAGATTGGGTTCAATTTATTTGAAAAATAACTTTTAAACCCTTATGATTTGAGGCCCATGGAAGTAATTATATATACTGATACCAAGTGGTATCAAAACTTAACATTAAGCTATTAAAAAGATCAGAGAATAATGGATTTTCAATTACTGGAATACAGTTGCAAAATCTTTTAGGTACATTTCTACAGAAAGTCAGGTTAAGTCTGAAATGATAAAATACCTTTTGGAACTTTGCCATCTATAAGGGAGGTGAGTTTTGTTATTTCATTAAAAGACGATTGTAATTCTTTCTCTAGATCAACTTGCATTTTCTTTTTCGCCTCCAACTGTCTTTGACATAACTGAATATCATTTTCCATTTGCTTGCATGTACTTGCAAGTTCTTTCTATTGAGAGAAACACTGCAGATTCAAAAAAATGTACTATTGATCATTGCAACTCTTATTACAAATATTACTAAAATCATTTACCATTTTCTCTTTCAGCTTGAGATTTTCACTTCTAAGAAAGGCTGATTCTCTCTTGGCATCAAGAGCTACAGTTTCAGCATCAAGCAGAGTCTGTTTCATTTGTTTTAGGTCTTCAGTGTTTTCCTATACAAATGACAAAAAAGATTTAGTAAAATCTTTCTTAGAGTTGGAAAAGACTTAACATGTACATATATGTTACTCCTGACAAACAAAAAATGGTTAAAATGTGCTAACTGCCAAATGTATTTTTAGGATAGATAAAAACAAATGACATATTCCATAATAAAAATGTTTTTTAAATTATGGCTGTATTTTTCCAAATTATAAAAGCATTGTATAGAAGTACTATAATAATTCTGTTATTGTTTGCAAAGGTTAACACAATTGTTCAGCTAGCCTGTTAAAGTTTCCTATGTATTTTTATGTTATTCTCTGCAAAACATGACAGGTAGGAAGTTAATAGTAAAATTGAGGATGTTAAATCAAAAATTAAAATGAAAAAGGTAAATAATCTAACTGAAAAATAAAGAAAAGATGAATAAGCAACTCACAGAAGAGTAAATGCAAATGACTGATAAATACATAAAAAAAAATCCAGTCTCATTTTTAGAAAGAAGTGGCATTTTAACATGACTTGAGCTTACATGAATTCAACCACATGTCCTTGGCAAAATATTAATGCATGCATGCATGAATGAATGAATGAATTGGATGAATTAAGAGAAAGAAATAAACAATTTAAAATAATCGGCAATTCTACCTGCCATTCTATCAACAGCTACTCTAGGACGATATAAAAGTGTCTTTCTTCCCAGGACCTCAGAACAATGAGAACACTTTTAAAAAGAATCGTTTGTCATTAACAGAAGGTAACAAAAGAGCACTAATAGAACAAAATGTACTATGAAAAACTCAGATATAAACAAAAGGACAAAAAAAAATTCTAGAACTTCCAACTAGAAATTATTGCATTTTTAAAAAAAGAATGTTAAAAACTAGAATCCAACTAAACTTTCTTGAAGTAATTAGGTGGATCGAAAGCAAATAGAAAAAGTTAATTTCACCATGAGATTCAACATTATTTAATGCTATGATCTTCTACCAACTAAAATCATACCAAACAGTTAAAATAGTTGCTTAATTATGAGAATGCATTAATATCTATTAAGGAAATGAAGTTAATAAAATTTATAAAATCATGCTCAATTACGTATGTTTTATAGTTTTAGTTATTTATCACTGCCAAGTTAAGTGCTCATTGGAAAATATTGACTATATACTTCTGCATAATTTGTATAAAACAACTGAAAAAATTTAAAAAATGTTGAATTACCGATTTTTAATAAAAGCCCATCCCTAACTTATTTACTTTTAGTCAAAGGATAATATCCTCAACTCTCAATGAATGAGTCTTTATCCATAAAATGGTAATGATACTAACAGTGCTTTTCTCATAGGGTGACAGGATTAAATAAAATACTATATACAAAACAACTAGAACAATGTTGGGCACACAGTAGGCTCAATACAAACATCTGCTATGATGATGATGATAGTATCCTGCTAATGCCATAATGATTACATAACAAAATAAACCTGACTTTTACCGATGAATATGACAAGTCCATTTTCATACTTCCTGACTTCTGGGAGTCTACATATTTCTGTAGCTTCTTAATCTGGTCTTCCTTTTCTCTAAGCAGCTCTACTTTTGAACTTAGTTCATTCTAAAACAATTAAAGAAAAATGAAACAATTTACTTCAGTTTGAATTCAAAGGGATTAAAAGGAAATTACATTTAATATTTTAAAAAGACAGTAAAATTCAAAACATTGACATTTAAAAAGTATAATTCCTTCTGTTTTCTGAAATCATGTTCAATTACATATGATGTATATTTTATAGTTTTAGTTCCTTATCAATAGAAATACCAACATAAATGCTCACCTCAAGATCTTGATTATACACTTCTGCATGCTTAACTAAATTCTTTAAGTTGGAAATTTCATGAATTAGTTGCATCTGTAAGAGCATGTGAACAGGCAACAGAGCAAACCAATAGTTAATAAAGCAAAAAAAAAAAAAAGATAGCATTCATTTACCGCTTTAGAATCACCTAACACAGTAGGAAGGACAGTGAGATCAATCGTTCAAGCTACTGCAACAAAGCACCTTGTCATTTAAAAATAAATAAAAGCCAAACCTAACCAACCAAACAAAAAAAAAATCCCAAAACCTCAAGAAACAAGCAAGTAAGGAAAAAAAACTCATCATCACTCCAAAAAAGTTATGTCATCTGTTAATAAAGCTACAATAATGTCAAAAGAAAATTAGTATGCACCACTTGTAGAAGATAAAGTAGTAATCAAACTTTTAAAAAACATACTTTCAATAGATTTTTGTTTTGGGTAAGTTAAGTGCAGAAATGTATTTATTCTGTAAGATTTTTTTCCCTTCCCATAATTTACCCACCTAGCCTTATACTGGCATAATTTTTAATGAGTTGTGACTTGGAATTTAGGTTTGGAATATGATAAGCTTCATGTGGTGCCTTTACAACGTTATTACTGTTCACCAAAGCTATATATATATATATGATTAACTATTGCCTTGTTGGTTCATTCTACAGGAAATATTGAAAAGATAAAAGTTATTGCTTTATATTGTTCAACTGTCTAAAAGTATAAAAAATACTTAAAGATTTCTATTAAAGTTTTCTTTTTATTGAAATATCTGTAGCATTAAACATTTGAGTACCAGAAACTTTTGTGTTCAAAACAAGTACACTACAGTTTAACAAAGACATATGTATCTTCCCTTAGAATTATTTAATCTTCATAATCAGATAAGTCCTTTAAAGAGCAAAAGGAAATTCTAGTCAAATTAAGGGACTTACAAAAATAGCATCTTATTTAAATAATATTTTCTGGATGTGTAATTCAGTCCTAACTAGTTTTAGATTTCAGACTAGTGCTAGTTTGACATTCCTATTTTAGGTCAGTGTCATTTAATAGAAATATAATGTGAGCCAAATTTGTAATTCAAAATTTTCTAGCAGCCACCTGTGTAAAAAGAAACAGGTAGAATCAATTTTAATATAATTTATCTAACCTAATATATCCGAAAAATCATTTCTTCATGTAATCAATATTAAAAGTTAATGTACTATTTCATATTCCTTTTTTCAGACTTGAGTCCATTGAGATTGGTCCCATTTGAAGTGCTCAATTGCCACATGTGATTAATGCCTACCTCACTGTTCAGCAAAGTTTTAAACATGTGCATTGGTTATAATTTTTATTTTATTTTGTTTTTTTGGCTATAATTTAAATTGACTCTTTTACCTTCTCTGTTTCTAATTTTTGTGCAAGAAAACCAATTTTGTCTGTTTGTAACTTTTGTGCAAGAAAATCATATATCTATGAGAAATGAAGAATAAATAATCAATTTTAAGTTTTGAGAACATTTAGAAAGAAATGTTCTCCCACTTCTTATTTGAAATAGCTCTTCATTTTAAGTACTTGTTCATACAAATAGAAAAAGATTATTTAACTATCGTAATGATCTGAGTGTACTCTCCCAAAGTATTGTTTAAAATGTAGAGCAAAGAGAAAGTATGATATGATTAAAAGTCAATTCACTGCTACACAAGAAAATATTGCATATTTCAACTGTAATTTTCAGCAGGTGTAGTGAAATATTTAATTAACTTCTTGAGACAAAATCTCCAAGTTGTGAAAATTATAAAATTAAATCAGGTTAAAATAGGTAGAGAGAGGAAATTTCTCTTGTTCCCTGGGCATACTACCTGACCTTGTTTATTCCTTCTTTTAAAATTATTTTTAAACATCTTGTGTTACTGTATCCACACTTGAAAATTATCCACAGCTTTGGTAATTTTTGACAAAATCAAGGCCACCTGTCCTCAGGCTGTAATTTGACTTTTAGTCCTTTTTTGGTTAAAATTTTCCCTAAAATGTAAGTTCTAGAACATGTTTCATTGTATACACATAGACTTGTATTTTTAGCTTAACATGGAACGGATATTATACAACTATCTTTGAACAAAGTCAGTTTTTATTACTTAATCTTTTAGGTTACCTCACAGAACCTAGAATTTCGATTTGTGTCTAAGCAAAAATGAAGAGAACAGAATTACTACCCCCTTAACTGTAAAAAGGAAAAAGCAATCAAAATCAAGATGAGAGATTCAAGGCATACATCCTGTGTTATTTTGTAATCTTTTCACATGTGATTCAATTCAGGGAGCTTCACTTTTTAATGACTGAATATATAAATGCTGTAAGAAAAATTACAAAACTTATTGCTATGCCTATGCCAAAAGTTAATTTTATGCCATATTATTTATAAAGTATATCTAAAAAATTAGATGAAATTCTGGCGTTAGAAGGGGACTTGGCAAGACCTCTATCTAACTTTAAGGGGGTAAGATACACAGGAAGTAAGCCCTGAGAAATTTGATGACTTGTTTAAGGCCTTGCCAGTAATTTATTCCAGGCTCAGATCTGTGGTGAGCTAGTGAACAGCAAAACTGGGCTTCATTCCAGGTAGTTCGCTCCAGAAACCATGCACTAGAGCACCCCCTCTCAATAAAACCCAGTTTATGGACTGAAGTCCACTGTCCTTTTCATGATGATTTAGATCTTGTGAACACACAAATTTTAAAACAAATTAAATGAAACCGTGGAGAAGTTACAGACTTTTGTCTCTCAGGATATGACACCTACGAAATGCAGGAGTAAATTTAAACTGTAGGTAGAACAGAAACAATAGTTTTGGCATAGAAATCTTTTTTCTTTTTGAAAAAGAAAAATGGGTGAGAAACTAAACAACGATACTCAGGAAAAAGGATTGTGTCCCTTTGGGCTATCCACAGAGAAATCTGGGAAGTAGCTGCAAATTGATTCATATTTTAACTACACTAAAATGTCGGCTCTTATTTTTGAGGGGATTCATGAATCATGTCACAAGTCTGATAACAACTATGGATTCTTATTTCAGAAAATTAAACATGCACTCCAAAATTCTGTAAAATAATTTCATAGTGTCTATGAACTCTAGGTTAAGGATTCTCCACACTAAGAAATCTCTTGAATCTTTGGACAGTTTCCAAGTCCCCAAAGACCGATGGTTTCTGGATTAGGCCCTTTTAACATGTAGCCTAATATTATATACTTGAAAAATTAAAGTGATCCATTTCATTTCTAAAAATTCCATTAAAACTATTCAGTATTAGTTATACTAATTTTCACAGTAACTTTCTTATATGAAAAAAAAATGTGCAAAATTAGCTTCCCCAGCTATTCTAATAATGTTCTAGATATTTAGGAATATACTTTCTAAAGAAAACACAATCCATTAATAGCTAGTATTCATATATAAACCATTCAGCTAGATTTTAAAGTTGATATTGGTCTCAGTAGGAAATGCCTATGTTCCAGGTAGCATTTCTGATATGCTCAACAAATTAAATATTGATAATACACAAGTTATAAGGAAATTATTTCTTCAAAACAAATCCATCAATAGGCATTCATCAAACTTCCTAAAGATGTTTTGATTCCTTCTTATGTGTAAGCACAAATGAAACAAATATGATTTAACTATTTTTATTAAACATTTACTTATTTATTTATGGGAAGAGGTTATTAGGTTTATTTATTTTTATTTTATTTATTTTTTAATGGAGGTCCTGGGGATTGAACCCAGAACCCTGGGCATGCTAAGCATGCTCTCTACCACTGAGCTATATCCTCCTCTCCCCTGATTTAACTATTTTTAAAACAATATAAATAAATTATTTCTTAAATTCTCTAAATTGTGTATACACATGGGAAATGGTTGGAGCCTCAATATCTCAACCTTAGAAATAAGTATCTTTTAAGAGAATGGTACTTCTTTTAAACATGTGGTTTTAGTTTATTTTCACACTTCCGTATCTTTTACCTCTTGATCTTTTTCCGCTTTTCTTTCCAGAGCCTCAAATTCATCCAAATCATTCTTTTCTTTTAATTTCAATTCCATTTCTTCATTTTCTTTTCTTAGTTGTTCATAATCTAATACCAGATTATCGTAGTTAGCCCGAAGTGAACTCAATTCACTTTCTAAGCTTTCCTATTGTAAACAAAATCAGATTTTCAAGTCAGAGAGAATTCAAATCATATATTCTTTGTTTCCTTAACTAAAATTTGGAATAGTCAAATAAGTATTTAACCTTGAATCATTTGGTAGTTTAGGTCATTTGTTCTTTAATATCTTTTTAATAGGTCTAGCTTGATTCAGAATAAATTAAAGGGTTGGCATTTTGATAAACCAGCTAACTTAGAATAGAAAAAAGCTATTGAAAGGGGTAGAATTAAAAATATATATGTATATATCATATGAACAAATGCTCTGTCTGTGCTTGACTAGACAAGGTGAGTCAGAAGTAGGAGGCAGAGCTCATAATGGGCTATAGATCTTTAAGCTCCTTAGTAATAAAACTGATCATTTAATTCTCTGTCTGACTACTATATTATTTCTCAGACAGCTCTGAATTTAAGAAGTGAAACTGAACGATTATTTACTGACCTTTAAACTCTAGTGGCTGCTAAGGTTTTACTCTACTCAGAAGAGGCCTATTTCCCCTTTCTATACTATTATGAGAAAGTTAAACCATGAATTAAAAACAAACAAAAACTAATACCAGGGATTTTTCAAAAAACAACAAACTTCTAGAGTATGTTTTAGGGACACAAAAGCACTTCACCTAAACACTTAACTAATTATAACTAATTGCAATGGTTAGCTAATAGTAATAATAATTCCCCAGAATCACTGCAATTTTATTACAAAATAAAAATAAAATTTTCTTAAACAAATACATTTGCAAAACTAAACTACATTTCTTTGAACATTAGCAGCCTAGAAAGTAAACATGGAATTTAAATTTACTAAATTATTAACTATAATATTCCTTATTTCTTAAAGTTTTGATAGGACAATAGACATATAATACATTTACTTTTTTTTTAGTATTAGTTGGCAATATTACCCCTCCCTGATGTGTCATTCTTTTAATATATGCAGGAAAACTTTGACAGTTTAAAAATCAGCTCTTTTTACCCTAGGGGATTGCTCAAGGCAAAATAGAAACTTAAAAAAAAAAAACCCAAAAACAAAAAACCCCAACAAATAGATGTCAAGATCTGCTGACAAAGAACTAGAATCAAAGGTTTACCTATCACCATATACCTGCTGTGTGAAATTTTTAGCCTCCCTTTGGATGCCAGTTATCAACTAGGAATGTAACAAGAAGGGGGAGCTTTAATTAGAACCAATAATTAGAACCAAACGGCTACCGAAATTAATTCAGAGCTAGTAAAGCGTTATAACAACAATAAACACCAATAACAAATGAATTTAAATAAGAGTAAAAGGATAATGTTCTGTTAAATACATTTAAGTTACCTGATTTAACAGCTTTGTTGCTGGATTCCACTCTATCTCACTTAATGTATCAAGAGTGTTACTGAAAATATCAGACTCTGAACAGAGAGCTATAATTAGAAGGAAAAAAATTTATCCATGAAATTGTTATTTTCTTAAAACTCAAATTAAAGATTAAAAAAATTCTGACCAGAGGTAATAAACTTAAATTAGCTAATTAAGTGCTCACAATATGAATGTCAAGAATACATTAACAACAGATGTAATCATTTGTATTATTGTGTGATTTAGGATCACTGATTAGAATGAGTGATAAATTATAGGGGTCCTTAATACAATATAGGCCAAAATGACAAATTCTAAATGTGACATTTAACTATTATAAATTTAAAAATGCCCCTAAAAATACTTATAACTCATGTTGGAGAAATAATTTTGAAACAGATTCCTGGGTAAATGCCACCCTTGCAAGATTAGCAAAGTTTAAGGCAGATGTTATACGGAAACTAATTTAACTGGATAATGATTAGAACAAAAACATACAATAAAAACATGTCTCATGTGTTTCAACTACAGTGCATCATTCTTAAGAGATCTGGAAACAACAGAGAACTTTATGAATGTTCACTTTCTTAAAATTACTTATTTTTATCATTATCTCTATTGTAATTATACTAAAATATATACATTTTAATTTTATTTAAATGTGTTTATCACATTAACTAAGCTATAAAGTCTTTATAGGGATGCTTTTATAATTAAAAGTAGTTGAAAAAGTACTCACATTCATCAATTTCTCCTAAAGTTACAGCAGCCTTAGGTGTTTTTGTTGTTACAGTTGCAGGAATATTAAATTCGTTTACGCAGTTTGAGTCCTTCATTTTGTTAATTTTGCCAACACACCAAGTGACTCTTCGTTTTTTTTTAGCCTAAAAAGACGGAAATCAAAATTACCTCACACAGATCCAGGCTCAAACATTGTACAACAAGGAAACTCATTTCCATTTTTAAAAACCATTGACTTGGTAGAATTTTTACTACACCTAGTTTAATATCTTACTAGTTTAAGGATATCCTGAAATAAGAAAATATACTCAAACTTTTCAAATCAGTGTTTAACCCCATAATAAATTTAGTGAAACTACTGTTCAAATTATATTTTTTATTGGACGGTTTACTTACAAGCTTCTCTGGAACTTAACTGAAAGGAATCAGTTGACTCACAGCTCTTCAAGTAATCTTGTGTTACATGGAAGGGACAGCTGTTGCTGCCACCACCATAGCTACCAAAAGCACTTTTGGATACTCAGTTCTGCTCCCTCGGTGATCTGTTCATCTTCCCTAGCCCCTTCCTCTCAGCTTTACAAATGCTCAAGCCTATTTATTTGCTTTTGAGTTTTTTAAAAAATAAACTCCTGACTCCTCACTTCTTTCTAGCTACCGTTTTCTTTTAGTTTCTATGTTGTCTTCTTCCGTCTCCTCTACCTGCTTCTTCCTCAGCCCTTCAGGGATCCCTTGTATGGTTCTTATCCCGCCCAGCTAGCTGTCTGCATCTCTCACTCTGCTTTACTGGTTTCTCTTCCCCTGACCACCTCCTGAACGTTTGTGTCTTTCCGTATTCCATAGCTGCCAGTCTTCTCTTGTGCCTCTACTAGTACAAAGATGAGCTCATCTTATTTCATCCTCTCATCAATCCTCTATTACTACATCCATTTTATAGATGAGCTTTTTGAATTTTACAGACATTTAACGGGTGTCCAAAAACTTTGGAGAAGTACGGTCATACATGGTGGCTGAGCCCATGCCTGTAACTTCAGAGCCAATCCACCAACCATTCTACTGCACTGCAGCTCAAGATTATCTGCTGTTCCAGACCAAAATGCATGCTTTCATGCCTCTACTACATACTACCCTTCTGCTTGAAGTGGCCAGCCCTTTCCACACCCTGCTCTGCAAAAACCCAGTTTTGTATAAATCCTGGACTCCAATGACCTTCAGCTCAACTCCATGTGCTCCCAAAGCCACTCCTGGACCTTGTCACTATCTTAAACTCATAAACCCAGACGCTCTGCTCCTAACACAGTTGCTACCCTTCCACTTCCCTGATCCAGTTAATCCCATTATAGCTGTTTAGCTTCTTTTCTTCCCTGTCTGTTCATCCTATCATCTTAGATTCCATAGATCATCACTTCAATTACGTTTTTGGGTCAACAGCCTCAAATTATTCGGCCCAGTCTCTGTTCCCCTCACCTATCAGAACACAGTATACGCTGAGATGAATTATACTCCCTTTTGAGCCTTTATCAGTCTCCTAAACCGTTGCCAGATCCACAGTCAGAAGCCTGGCTGCCACCATCACCCAGGTCCTTAATGCTGTCTGGGAAGACTCCTCTTTCCTCTTATTGGCTTTTTTTTCCATTCCCTATAAAGGCTACACTATTTTACACTCTTAGCATGTCTATGAACTCATGTTTCCACCATCTCCTGCCATCACAGTAGAAAAAATAACCTTGTATTTCACAAAGAGAATATAAGCCTAGGCTTACAAAAGCCTTGCACATTACTTGCACGGAAGCCTGTCCTTTCCTCTGTCCTTGTTATAATGAAGAGGCATTTCTCCTTCTGTCTAAGGCCAGATCCTACTACTGTATTCAAGATCCCATCCCTTTGGGCTATCACAACCCACTGCAAGGTGGCTTTCATCACCAACACATAACTAAAGATAGTTTGCAGATGAGTTTCTTGTTTCAAAATCCGAACACTTTTGTCTGTGTGTATCTTATTTAACTTCTCAGTAGAGTGTGACACTGCTGACTGCTACCTCTCTGAAATATTCTCTTCCCTTAGTTACCACATTTACCTGGTTTCCTTCTAAACTTGAGCTAAATGTGGGCTCCTTTAGGGATTCTCCTTTCCTGCCTTTACCTAAAAAGTTGTTGCTTCTTGGGGTTTTGTGTTTGACCCTCTGTTCTTTCCATTCTCAACATGCGCCCAGAGCAAGCTCATCCATTCCCAGGATTTTACACTGGATCTGCCATAGTTAATGCCCAAACTGATATCTCCACTTCAGACCTTTCACATTTTCAACTGCCTGACACCTTAAACCGGAGATGTCCTGAATCACACACTGGGCAGCACCACTGCTCTTCACTCAGTGTTCCTCAGCTCAGTGAATGCACTACCAGCTACCCAGCAAGACTGGTAACACTTGCAAGTCATTCTGGATTACCTCCTCCCTCCTTTCCCTGCCCCTGCATATAAACAATCACAGAGTCCTGTTGAGACTAGCTCCCAAATAGCTCTCCAGTTTATCCAATCTTTTCCACCTCCAAGAGCCACAATCATTGTTGCGGCCCAATCAATCTGATGCACACAGCAGCCACACCTTTCTAAAATGCAATTCTAATTATGTTCCATACAAGGCTTTTCCTTGTCCTTAGCATAATGCAATGTTCAAATCCTTCAACATGGTTTAAAATGTCCCTGCCACCAGGAAGTCCAAGAAATATACTGTTTTTTCCACAACCTCAAGCATTGTACATGTAGATGTCTTCCTAAAACACTATTCCGTACACCTTCCATTGGGATATTTCCCACTCATCACTCAGTCAATGAATAGATCTTCAGTGTCTTCTATATACTTATTATGGTGAACTGAACATAATGTCTATTAATGATAATCTTAATAGCATACATTCATTGAGGATTTGCTGAGTAGGAAGTGTAATGTTAGTAGCATATACTATATGTTACTTCGCTTAATTCTCACAACAATCCTAAGAAGTGGGGAATCAAGCTATATATCACAGATAAGGAAACTGCAGTAAAGTATATTAGAAATTGCCTAAGGTCAAGTGTTAGGAAATGACAGAAGTGGGATTCAAGCTCTGGCAGTTCAACTCCAGAGGCTATCCTCTTAAAAAAATATGTCAGATAAATAAATCCTGACTCTAGTAAAAACAAAAACATACAAACTGGAAGCCAGAATTTTGATCACTATGTTGATTTATCTTGTAGATCAATTTCTTGATATTAATATTTCTGTTTCTTTAAGTAGAAAATATTCCCACATACTCTAGACAACTGTGGCTTCAATCACCTAATTAATTTCATTAGAATTTCTCATGAAGCATATTGCAAATAGATTCCTTGACTATACTCTAGACTCTAAACCACAAAAGACTCCAAATAGCCAAAACAATCTTGAAAAAGAGCCAAGCTAGAGGCATCATGCTTCCTGATTTCAAACCATATTACAAAGCTATAGTAATCAGAACAGTATGTACGGTATTGTCAAAAAAAACCAAAACCAAAACCAAAAACAACAACAAAAAAACCCAACCAACCAAACAAAAAAAAACCCAGACACATAGACCAATGGAACAGAATAGAGAGCCCAGATATAAACCCCACACATATATCATCAGTTACTTTACAACAAAGGAGACAGGAATACACAACGGGGAAAGGACAGTTTCTTCAGTAAATGATGTTGGAAAAGTTGGATAGCCATACACAAAAGAATAAAACTGGACCATTATCTTATACCATACCCAAAAACCAACTCAAACTGGATTAAAGACCTGAATGTTAACACTTGAAACCATAAAACTCCTAGAAGAAAACATAAGACGGTAAGCTTGAATCCTTGAATTAGGATCTCTACAGTAGGGATTGGTATTTTTAATGAAACTCGTCTCTTAGATGTTTTGTTGCTATGCAGGCAAATGAACAAAAAGTTCTGGGTTTCTTGAATATACTGTATCAAAGGATAAGAAATGCATAACTATATAATAAACACAAAGGAGTATCTGTTCTATTCTCTGTACACCAAGTTTAAGCTGTCATCTTTAAAATCTTACCTTTAATTCCTGTTGTGATGTGAGGGAAGAAGAGGTCACCAGCATCCGTGTTAAGTTTTGAATTTTCTCAATCTGCACTTTTTGAAGTAGATCTTTTTCTTCCAAAAGTTGGGCCAATTGGTCTTTTTCCATTGCCTGGGCCCTTGTCTCTAAAGAAACCTACAGAATATATTGGGTTATGTTAATAATAAATGTAGCTAGGTTTTAAAACCTTGAAAGTAGATTAAAAGAACAGAACAGAAATTTGTATGTGAACTGAATTTTAATTTCGGTGAAATAAAATGTATCCTATGTGCAGAACACCTATGTGCAGTTACCACAATCAGTAATTTCTCAAACTAAAAATAAAATATACATTTCTTTTCATGTCACTATTCTATGTGCCATGTATAAGATTATAACAATGCTGTTAAAGCAACACCTAGTAATAGCTCCAAAATATATAAATAGTAGGCAGAGAAGTCATAAAAGCAGAGACTTGAATACCTATAGCAAAGGAAGAGATTTTGTCTTAAGACTCCCATTTGATATTTTAGCTCATTTTTAAAAAGATCACTAAAATGCAAGATTTATACAAAATAGGGGACCATAATGGTTAAAAGAAATTACAATGAAAGCGATTATGCTAGCTTATTAGATTGCTATCTCAGGGTTAGAAGAGGAATTCAAGATAATGTGAAACTACAGAAAGTAGTTTTAAGTAACTATACATGGTCTCTCTTTTTTAACCTCTTCCCTATGTATTTTTCCCCCTATGTATTTGTGACAATTCAAAAAAACTATCTCTACTTGGCCCATTTAAAAAATCTCAAATTTTGCCCTTTGAAGACGAACAACAAAATCTAAAATAATTCCAAGAAACCAAATCTTTCAATTTATAGTAAATTAAACTAAAATTTTTGTCAGTTGACTTCTTCTTAGTTGAAAACTATTTGTTTTAAATTTAAAGAGTCTCTGGGCTAAATTTAGGCAGATCTCAAGTCTAAATGTGTCCCATGGTTCACACATACCTCCTCTAACTGCTTTTTAAGATCCATGATTTCTTTTCTGTATCTTTTCAGGAGAGCTTCATCACTTGATACCTCATTAACATAAGGAGTATTCTTCATATATTTAGCAGTGCTGGCAAACTGGGAAAAAATACAAGTGTTACATGCTCAAAACATACAAAAATTAATTAAATGAATAATATTTGGGTTTTATAATTACGTTTTATAAAGAAAAATCAGCAATCTTCCCAGGTGGCTTAATACTTTTTAATACAGAGAGCATTGTGTCTCTGTAACCATGCCTATAATGCTGTAGTCAAAAGCCTCTCTCCTTTCTTTGAACTCGGTCCCACTGATTAGCCACTTAAGTATCAATCCAAGGCAATCATGTTGGAAGACAGGTCTTACCTTCCCTAAAGCCCTATATATTCTGTGGAGCCAGGGACTGTATTTCTATCTTTGTTTCTCTGACGGTACCCTGATCCGTGCTCAATAGCTATTCTGAGCAATGTTGCTTAGAGTGTGAGTATCAGAAGTGATTTTAAGCGGGTACATGAAGGTGACCTTTATATATATTGAATCCTTCACTGAAACAGCTATTCTATTGACAATTCATATATCCCCTTCCCTTTTTTTAAAACGGAAAATGCAGGCCATAGCTCAGTGCAAAGGCAGACAGCAATTCACTAGTAGGAGTTTAAGAATTATTTTGTTATGAACACTCATGTTTTTGGGGTCCCCAGTTTGTTGCAGGTGATACTAGTTTTTCATTTATGGGACTGATATAACATTTCCTTTCATAATCAGTTAAGTAAAAAAGTGAGTTTTAAAAGAAGAATGCCAAGTCAATTTCAGCAAAATAGTGTTGGATGTGGCAAGAATTGTGGAAGTGGGATATAAGTGATTGAATTTTGGGAAAATTAAGGAATGCTATCTAGTAGACAACACATCAATTTTGTTTTAATAGGATGCTATGACAATTTAAAAAATACATATACTTATTTTTAACAGATTTTCTTTTTCTTCTTAAAGGTGATTTCCCCCCATATTAAGTTGAGATAAAAATCAAACTTACCTGGAGAGTAGTAAGGGTTTCATCAAAAGACACTGGAGTAATTGTGCATATAATACGTGTTTTTGCATTTCCTCCCAAAGAATTCTGGAGAATTCGTGTTAATTTGCTATCTCGATAATTTATGAAACCGCTGAGTGAGAAATGAGTTTGAGAAGAAAAAGAGTACGAATTTTTATGTAACAAAATAGTTTTTTAATGTAGAACCTTAAAATAGCTACAGTTATAAAAATTAATTCTTTACAGGTTACATGAGGCAGATCAAAACTACTAACTAAAAAATATTTAAAATAGAAAGTACATTTAGTAGGACACAATCATCTGTATAAAAAGCCATGTATGCTCACAGAATCATGAAGCTTTTGAAGATATGAAAGAAATAAGTACATTTATTTGAGTGTCACTAAAATATGTTTTTGACCAAATGATAACATAAGCATTAATAGGTAAATGTAGAGTGGGATAAACTTACCCAACTTGTCCATCACTAAGTTTCTTGATCACTTGTCCCAAAATAAATAAGCTTCGATTTATATTACAGCCTTCCTTGAGACGCAAACCTGCATTTATTAAACAAATATAAAAACTAAAATCGACGCCTGTATTGTATGATGAACTTGTTTATCAGTAAATTATGAGCGAAAGTAGAAATTAAAGGGTCCAATGCTAAAGTCTACGCTTTGGACTAGATCTGAGTCCACCTTTAATACCAGTGGTAGAGGAGCTCTCTCCTTATTCTTCCCACCTACTGGGTGAATCGGAAAAGTTATCACCCAGGAGAAACAGAAAAATGAAAAGATGACTATGAAATGAATGACAGGGAAGAAATGCCCATTTCCTAAAAGAGACCCTCTAATTTTTCTGTTCAAATTTATTTTTCCAAACCTCCAAATATAGGTAACTATAGACTTATAACCAAATTAGTTCCTATAGGCTCACAACCAAAAAAGTTCTCATTTTTAAATTATTAATATGCTCACATGACTCTAACATTAAAAAAAAAAAACAACTTTGAAAAAGCTCTCTCCCACTTTTATGCCCCATTCAACCAGTTCCTGTCCTCTCTACTACGAAACCATATTTATTATTTATTCTTCTAGAGATTTTTAGAAATACAAGTTCATATATATTCATTCTTTCCTTTCTTTTTTAGACAAATAGTAGCACACTATTTTACACTTCACTATTTTTACTTGGCAGTATATTACATTTCATATCAATAAACACTGGTCTTTTTCATTCTTTTTTATATCATAGAATTTCATTGTATGGCTGTATCAGAATTTATTTACCCAGCATCCTGTTGCAGGATACACAGGTGTTCAATCTACCATGTATACAAAACATACTGCAGCAAATAACTTTGAACAGCTGTTATTTCACAGGGACACTATTCGTCTATTGCTGTAACAATGCTGCTTAACAAGACAGTTTAAAACAATAAGCATTTTTTCCCCATTCATAGGTCTGAAGATCCATTGGTTTGGTGGATATCAACCACACTCAGCTTTGTGTCAAGCTGCAAGAAAGAGAGGCTTGACACTTTATGATTTTGTACCTTCTCATCTAAGTATGTTTTTCCGTTTGTTTAAGGATTTGCTTACGTTTTTCAGGTATGTTTTGAAGTTTTCTTTATTTTGATCTTGTGCGATTTTTGTCGAGCTTTTTCCTAGGTATTATATTTAAGCCATTATTGTAAACTGAGCCTTTTTACTAAATATTCTAACTGGTTGTTTGTATTAAAGAATTATTCATGTCTGTATATTAATTTTGTACCCCATTATTGTTCTGAGTTTTCTTAATGATAATGAAGAATCAGATGGTTGTCATGGTATCCTCATGGGTTTTCAGCTATGCAATCCCAACAAATGTATAGTTTTAGTTTGTTAATTGATGCTGTAGTAGCCTAAATTAGATAATTAGCCAGATGCAAAAGCTGTTTCCTACACTAAGGACTTTTATCACAAAATTATTATCATTACTTTATCAGTTTCTAAAATGCACAGTAGCACATTTATTCTGCGAAGGAACAGGAAGACACTCAGACTGATAATATTTCATGAGTTTTCATTACCTTCAGCGCCTGTTTGAGCAGCTCTTTCACTGCCTGCAAGATCAACCAAATTCTGCAAGATAGTTGAAAATAAACCTTTAGGAAGGGTACTTGAGATAAAAACCGAACTACCGATAGAACATTTTAAACACATAGTTCACCTTCACCCCACTGCTGAGTCCTTCCCGTGTCAAACTGACCTCTAAACCTTTTTCTCCCTTGTAACATACTCTCCGTAATGCTGCCAGAATAGGATCTCCATTTCCAACAGAGTTCAAAACCTTATCCTGGTGAATGTGATTCCGGCACTTGTGCTGCTCCCACCTTGTATCTACTCATTGACAGACCCGAACTGCTCACTACATCCTGAACACCTCATGTGCTGCTTCACTGCCAAGCGCTACCTTTTGCCATTCTCTTTGTTACTTCTAATGCTCTAGTCTGCCCCTAGTCTTTACTCAGGACCAAAAGCAAATGATCTGCTCAATGTAGCTTTGCTGACTTTGTCCTTCTTCCTCCCGCACCTTGAATAAATTGCTCTTTCAACTGTGTACCCAGAGGTCATTAGATGCCTTATTAACAGCTCTTACTGTGTGAAGCTAGTCATTTGTTCTGACTACATGGTAACATCTTTAAAGTGTGGACCTCTCATTCACTTCACAAATACGGTTGAAAAAGTGACTGCCTGTCATGTTCCAGGCAGTATGTTAGGTGCTAGGGATACGGGAGTGAACCTGACAAATAAGGTCCCTGCCCTCAGAGAGTTTATATTCTACACGGAGTGGGATAAGGAGAGGAGGAAGTTGGTGAGAGGAGGAAAAAAGACAAACAGATAAGAAACACATCATGGTAAGTAAACAGAGATGATTTACATAGAGTCCGGGAAGGGGGAAGAACGGACAGTACAGGTTCTTTGGATTGGGTGGCGGGGGAAGGGCTCCCATTATGCTAAGATCTGGAATGTCAGAGAGGATGGAGCCAGCCCTGCAAGACCAAGGGAAACATATTCTCAATTAAAAGAACAGCCAGTACACCCACTCACAAAGGAGAGATGAGCTTGGTGTGTTCATAAAATAGAAAGGGCAGCATGGCAGAGTTGGTGAAGTGGAGATGGACAACAGAGGGTAAGAGAATTAGGTAGGCGTCAGATTATGCAGGGCTTTGTAAGCAAGGGTAAGAACTCTGGATTTTATAAATGCAATAGGGAGCCAGGAGAGGGCTTTAAGCAAAAGAGTGACATATCTTGATTTAACTTTCTGAAGGATCAACTGTGGCCCCTGGGTGGAGAACAAACTGGAGCGGAGCAAGAGTGACAGCAGGGAGCCCAGGAAGGAGGCTGGTGCAGGAACCTAAGTGAGAGATGATGGTGGCTTGGGCTAGGAGGCTGTAGTGGAGACAGTAAGTAGTAGAGGGATATCTTCTCTATTCTTTTAATCTGAGAGCCCAGGACTGTGTTCAAAATTTGGTAAAGGCTCAGCAAATATTCTTAATGCATTAAAAGAAAGTCAGAGACTTAAATTACCTCGGTGGAGACACCGAGAAATGGGCAGGTAATCATGTACTCCTGCTTTACAGTCCTATCTCAGATACTGCTTTCTCTAAAATACTCAGTCTAATCTTTGTTATATAGTATCTACTACAAAAGACCCAGATACATAACAAAAGGGCAAAGTGGTGATGAAGGCAGCATGAATTAAGGAACAAGCATTAGTGCTCCATCCAAGGCCCTAAGAAGCTCAATCTACCTGTAGGAGAGGAACTCAGGTGGAACAGAAGAAAGGAAAGATCGGTTAACAGTGGCCGGATCTTGTCCAGGGACATGCCACAACAAAAGCAGTGCTTGGTAACATTAGAAATCTGCATAACAGGCTGAAGAAGGAAAGATTAGTCCTGGAGACTAGGTTCAGGAGAAGGATAGAGTAATTCAAGACAGATGAGAACCTAAGTGAATATGACACCCACAGGAATAATGAAAAGTGGAATCAGCACAAAACGGTGGTGACCGGACAAAAGGGAAGGCAGGAAAAAAATGAGCCAAAATTGACTTGGGTTTCCAGCCTCGGTGACCAGGATAATGCTGGTGCTACTGGAAAAAAGAATATTCACTATGATAGGAAGAAATTAATTTGGTTTTAGACCCACTGAAGTTGGAGATAATAGTGGGTCAATCTTTAGGAAGACTTGAATTAGAACTCAGAGACTTCAGAAATAGTAAATATTTGGCCACCATCAACACAGAAATGATAGCAATGTCTGACGGCAAACATGGGAAAAAGGCCACAGAACACTCTTGTGTCTTGGTTAGGAGGGTAGGAGGAAAGAAGCCACAAAAGGGAATAGAGAAGGAGCAGAGCTAAGAGCACCTGGATGTTATTATCCCAGAAAAAACAGGAGACACTCAAAGACCACCTCCAAAGAGCCAGAAAATGACTCTTTTGGGAAGATTTCTTTCCAAGAAGATACTTAGAGTAAGTAGGGAGGCTGGAGGGGTTGGATCAGATGGTATCTATGGTCCCTAGATGACAGAGCATCAAAGAATATGAGAAAAGACACCAAACAGATCATGAGTACATCAAGATTATTAAAGCTAAATTATTAATAGAGAAGTCAAAATTGTAGTGATATAACACAGGCTAGGTTTGGAAAACAAAACAGAAGTTAATTTTTATGTTTTTGTTGTTGTTAAATTAAAGCAAGACTAGTCTACTAAAATAAATGCTATACTTGTATAGTAAAATAAAGGAGGTAAACTGGAACTGGTCATTTAATTAAGACTGATTTTTCAAAATCTGAAAGTAAATAACGTATTATAAACTTATTGCCTTTTCCCCTTAAGTTTTCAAACCAAATAGAGTAATCTTAAATCATAAATCAAATAGAGTAATCTTAAATCATATTCCACAACAAAAAAAGAGAAATGATATGGTGCAGCAAGGAACTGGGAGGTTTACTTATGCGGAAAAAAGGAATGTGTGCATAATGCTATATTCACTTACTCAACAAACAGGTATTGAATATAAACTAAGTACAATGTGTTAGGGCTATGAAGATGAAGGAGATATCACTCTTCCCTTCAAGGGATTTACAATTTAAAACACTGCTTATAACATAAAACTAATTTTCTTATCATACTTAAGAATGAACTTGAATAATGTGATTTATTTTTTAACCATCTCGCCCAGATTTTTGCTCATTTCACAAGTCTCAGTTCTATTGGTTGAGACCAAAAAACCCCCTTAAAAGCCCCAAAATACAAACACACACACACAAATCACCCCAAATTCTAAGATTAACTCTTTAATGTGCATGGAACCAACACTTCCTTCACTACTGGTTAGGAAAAGCCTCAAATCCTACAGTTCATGCATCTCAAGTTGAGGAGATGGCAGCCATAATGTAACAGGAAGTAAGATCCTCTGAACTCTTCCTACATTTCAGCTAGTAATTTCATGCTACTGATGAGACGAAACTACTAATTTATAGATGCTTTTGCCAATTAGTTAACAGTTCATATGAAACCAAACATCCAGAAGCTAAATAAATTTTGCTTTGGCCCATATATGACATTATCATGGTTCCTTAATACTCACCAAATGGGACACCTTGACAGATCCTTCAAAATTAGAAGGTTCACCTTTCTCTCTGCTTTCCAAAATCTAGAAAGAAAAGGCAACTTATAGGAAAATTAGTGCATTCTTAATTGGAAAGACCAAATATAGAGAGAATTACCTACCATCCTAAAAATGGTATGAGAACGACTACTTCTTTGATTCATCTTTGTAATTCCATAATGCCTGTTCTCTGTAAAACAAATTCATACTTCAGCTGCATGTATTAAAATCCAAAGAAAAACACTATTATTTTACCTTAAAAGTGAAAAGCGTGGTTTAAAGACTAAATACATTCAGTTAAATAGTTTTTTACAAGTGTTTTGAAGAAATATAGTATGAGGGGAGTGGCTAGCTCAGTGATAGAGTGTATGCCCAGCATGCATAAGGTTGTGGGTTCAATCCCCAGTACCTCCATCAAAAAATAAAGTAAACCTAATTACCACCATCACAAAAATTAAGAAAGAAAGAAAGAAAGAAAGAAAGAAAGAAAGAAAGAAAGAAAGAAAGGAAGGAAGGAAGGAAGGAAGGAAGGAAGAAAGAAGAAAGAAAGAAAGAAAGAAAGAAAGAATCTTACTTTCTCCCTTTGTGATCCACTTCAAAGCCATTTCAGATGTATAAACAACTTCTTCTGTGAGATCGGCCACATACACATTCCTCTGAAACAAGTTAAATTATGGGAAAAGTAGAGAAATGTAAGTCATTTAGAAGTTTGCATTTCAAAAAGAAAGTGCAAACTATGACAGAATTCATTTACGGAAGTTAAGAGTGGAAAATGGGGATTATTATTTTCATACTCTGTATGAAAACAACAAGTAAATCTATGATATTTACAATTTATTTCCTATACTAAAGCACACCAAATTCTAACCTGATACTTCTACCTTGCTCTTCTTAGGCACTTACACCAAAATATTACAGTTGTCAATATTTAAAAACTATACATGTTACTTAAAAGATGATCTCTATAAATGTTTAAGAAAATAGAAAACAAACCATAGTAACAGGAGACACTCTAAAATATATAGCAATTAAAAGCAAATATTAAAGAAAATAATCCCCATCAGTAAGTCTATTTTATGAACCACTCTATTTCTGTTACTCACATTGAAATCTTCCCGAATTATTAAAGGCTTCATTTTTTGGGTGTCACAGAGTAAGTCTGTAATCGTTTCATTGTATATCTCCATGTAAGACACACGTAAGAGAAATTCCCTATCAGGAAACTAGAAGAAAAAAACATGTGAAAACATTAGAGGTCATCCAATCATGAAAATCTAATACTGAATGCTTATGTGCTAATATTAGATATCAAAATATTCTTTGAGAAATTATCTTTTTAAAATTTTATTTATTTTTTAAATTGATGCATAGTTGACTTATCCCACTATGTTACTTCCTAGTATATAATGTAGTTATTCAATATTTCTAAATGTTTCAAAACCATGTTAAGGCTAGTTACCATCTGTCACCAAAGATGTTACACTATTATTGACTATATTCCCTATGCTATATACTTCATCCCTGTGACTCATTTATTTCCTAACTGGCAGTTTGTCCCCCTTAATCTCCTTCACCTATTTCTCTCATTACCCCTAGTCTCCCTCCCCTCTGACAACCACCTGTTTGTTCTCTGTATCTATGAATCTGTCTGTTTTGTTCATTTTTGTTTTTGAGGTTCCACATATGAGTGAAGTCATGTGGTATATTTATCTTTCAAAAAATTATCTTTGTAGAACAAACAAAAATAAAACAAAAAACACCCCCTCTGGTTCTATACTGGTGTTAAACAACAACAACAAAAAGATTGTTTCAGAAATAATGAAAAGTATAGTATCAAAAAAATCAGAAGAGGAGAGCAGGCCGTCCAACTCTCCAACCTCAAAATAAAACTCTACCTACATATATTCAACTAAGAACATTACAAATCATCAAAATAACGATGAAAAAACTAAGTTAAAACCAACTTTTAATTAATTAGGTCACTTACTCTGGCCTTCTGCTTCCCTCGTCTTGTATCTAGTCTGCTTTTTACAGCTCCCTAACAATCACTAAACAAAGGCAATGAGGACCTAACCATTCTGATAAGATTTTCTTGTTTCTTAAAGCCTACTTTTTGTGGGAGTATTGTTTCAGGATTCAAGGAAAAGAATGAAAGAATTTTAAGCTTGTAAATAAGTTTCTGGGAAAAAAATGAATCTATGCTATGCCTTCCTTCTTTCCTCATGGATAATCAAGAGATAACTATAAATCTACTTCCTTTCATCTTTACAAGAGAATACTAAGGTTGCTATCCTATTATTGCTACTTTTACCTGCATGTACCAGAACTTTAGCCAAGTTATTTACCTTCTTAATTTTTTGGAAAATGTCATGAATCGCCCTGGGTATTACTCCTAAGTAATCTTGTGAACCCATCATCGTGTATGTTTTTCCTGAAGCAGTCTGCCCGTAGGCAAATATGGTACCTGCAAAACCAAAATGCACACATGCAAAGATTAAAAATGAATCTATAGTGTATAAAACTATCAATATTTGCTGAACAGACACCCAAAACTGAAATGTTTCTGCAGTGAATACACACCATTGTAGCCTTGTATGGCAGAATCTATGATTGGTACTGCTATTTCTTCATACACATTTTTAGTGGTTTCATTACTGTGAAAGACACGATCTAAAAAAAAATTACATACAAGTTAAACCAAAAAAATTAACTGCATCTTCATTCTGAATTAGTAGTTGCTAAAATAAAATTGTCAGGGTATAGTAGTTTAAAATATTTAAGACACAGTGTTTTCTTCAACTTACTGATCCTCTGAAAATACTCTTCTCTTTAAGGTAAAATGTATTGATCCTTATGCAGAAAAAAATACAAGCTCGCTATCCTATGTACTTTCAAGAGGTAGTGGAGCACTGTGGCTCATATGGGGGTCTGGAATCAGATGGTCTGCAAATCCTGGTTCTGTCACTTACAAGCTGTGTGACTTTGGCCAAAGTGGTTGATGTCTCTGTGCCTCAGTGACTTAATATGTAAAATGGATATGTATTATCTTCCTCACAGAATTATTGTGAACATATGGTTAATACCTAGGAAATGTGAACTGTTAGGATTCTTTGAGAAATTTTAATGCTTCTAACATACCTAGCAAGAATGCCTAACTCAAACTAAACCAAGAAATGCAGAAATCTGGAAGAAAAGTATGACCAAAGCTGAAGCATTATAGAGAACGACCAGGTAGCTGGCTGCTGAAGGCTGGGTTTAGGGTAGCATTTACCCTGATGAATTCACTAGTCCAGGATGTGGTTCTCTGCTTGTTAGCACATTAAAAATAGACCACTCTTTCAGTGGTGGCTTCACATTAAAAAGCTCACAAGAAGTGGATTTGTATATTAGGAGGGAAATGTATTGACTTGAGATGAGAAATTCCATGATCACATTGTTTGCACCACAATCACATATCTGTCCTGTTAGCAGAATGATATGGAAAACCAAAGTGCCATCTGAAGGCTGCTTAGGGGTCATGATTTCAGAGCAAGGAGAAATGGTAGGATGATTCAAATCTTAATGTTACCTGCTTCAGATAGGTGGATGAGTCCAAATCCTTTGTGGGCATACATGACTACTGAGAATCTGTGGTACTTGAGTTGGCTTAAGTATCTAGGTGTTATCATCTCTGGCACATTACCCTTTAAAAATTATGTTACTACCATCAAACATTCCTTTACCAGGAGTCATTTTTTCTTCTACACATCTTTGTGGCTTTTTAGTTTAACATAAATTCGACGGCCTAATCACCCTTATTTCCAGGGTTGTTGAGAGGATGACACTGCAGTGGGAGTAAGTGGGAGCACGGTAGTGCGGCTGGAACATAGATCTGGAGCCTGACTTTTCCATTTGCTGGCTGTGTGACTCCAGGCCTTTCTGCTTCAGCTCCTCATTAAAACGGGAAGGTACCTAACACACAGGCTTGTCAGGAGGACTTCATGAGTTAATAAACAAGAAGTGCTTAGATCAGTGTCTGGCACATTGTCAGGACAATATACATGTTAAATTCATGCCACAAATCAGCCTAATTAACCTTTAGGGTCTCCAAGTCCCTTTTAGTCACAAGCTAGCTCTCACTCACCCTGCAGGTCGCAGTGTAAGTGGTACCATTTCAGATACCTGGATTAGTTAGATCTCCGCTATAAACTCCCACAAAGCTTATGTCATCATAAGTGTAAGTGTACTTCATATCGTAAGTTTACTTGTTTAAATAAAGCCTTTCTCTCCACCATATGATTAGCTCCACAAAAGCAGGGGTAGGTCTCTGCTCTCTTCTAGCAAACAAACAAGGAATAGCTTCACTATTTATTCTTTAAAGGTTTCTGAAAAATAACTGAAAAAAAAAACCAAACTAGGGGGTGGGTACAGCTTGGTGGTAGAGCATATGCTTAGCATGTATGAGGTCCTGGGTTCAATCTCTAGCATCTCTATTAAAAAAAAATATATATATATATATATATATATATATATCAAACTAGGGAAAAAAATAAGTATAAAATTTACCAGACTAAGAAAGATCTTAAAAATGATGATGTTAAGCCATGTATTTTGGGCTTACAGTTTTAGGCCTCAGGTACACTAATGATTAAGACGAAAAATGTTAGTCTTAGTCACAATGCACTATGATTATAACTGTGTTTTACTTTTTATTTACTAATTTTCTTTTTACTGTAACTATGCTTTAAGTATCAATTTATTATCTTAGTTATCATAATGATGGATGAACAATTTTCCAATGAAGCAGTTTATAGAAGGCTTAGTCTGATCTTTAGTGACAAATCCAGTATTATTCATAAGGCTTTTGTACTCTTAATAGAAAAAGGATACCAGGTTAACTTTTGATGCTATTATAAACTTACCAAAATTGAAGGATTTACTCCCATCAACTTGATAAATAGTATTATTGTCAGTTTTCCAGTAAACCTGAGTGTCTTTTCCAAGTGCTTCTTCTCTAAAAGAACAAAAACACTGTATTTTAGTCTAACTGGTCATAGAGGTTATGTTATATGAAAGATAAGTTAAAAGATTTCATCTTCTTATGAATATTTTAAAAGATGATAATGACTCATATCATAAATAAGATAAATGTGGAAAATCCACCTTGGAGGGTTCAACAGTTTTAAATGGGGTTTCAGTGACTTCCTGCACTTTCATGGGAGTTTCCTTGTGAAATTCTTCACTCCCACCTTCCTATCCAGTACTGGCAGCTGAAAAGATACATTCAAAATGCAACTCTGATTCTGTTTCTCTTGCTTAAAACCTTTAAAAACCATCCGCAGTCCTTAATTTGGCACATGAGACCTGGATCACTAAAATTTCTCTCTTCAAACTTATCTTCCTCTAAATCTCTATATACACCCTAACTTCATACAAATCAACTACCTGAAGGTCACCTCAACATAACAGATTCAATGCCTCTATTCCTGGAATACCCTGACTTACTTTTCTATTAAGTATCTTAACTGTTCTTTCATTCATGAAAAGTATCAGGAGTTTCCTGCACCAACCCTGTCTCTCCCCTAAACTGTCATCTTATTTAAGGACTAATGACTCCTCTAGCAAGCATTCTCCATATATCATAACACTTGTCATGATGTATTTGCAATGGTTTCTTAAAAAAATTTTTTTACTTAAGTATAGTTGATATACAATGTTGTTAGTTTCTAGTGTACAGCATAGTGATTCAGTCATTCATAAATATATTCTTTTTCACAATTGGCTATTACAAGGTATTGAATAGTTTCCTGTGCTGTAGCATAGGACCTTGTTGTTTATCTATTTTACATATAGTATGTAATGGTTTCTTTACGTAGCTGTCTTCTAATGCATTACTGAGCTTCTTAAAAATAGGAAATTCCCCATCTTGATATTCTCACTTATTAAACACTCAGTAATATTTAACAAATATTTCTCAAACACAAAATGTGTTAGCAATATGGGGTGAGGGCCCAAGGCTGGTGAAGCTGACATACTTCATTTTCATTTCTTCCTCGTCCTGCTCTTTCTCTATAGCATTTATTACTCCAGTATCACCACTTAACATTCTATATTTTTTACTTCATTTTCTGTTTACCCCTTTATAATGTAAGATCCAAGGGCAACGATAGTAGTTTAGTACAGCACATTGTACTAAAAGAAAACAATATTGATGAGTATCAGTCACTTCTGAATGTGGAATTCAGTCATTGACTGAATGAAGCCTTGAGTGTCTACCAAATACAATGCAACAAGACAGACTACTCCTTGTTCTCAAGGAGTATACAGTAAAGAGGGAGAGAGAGTCAGTTAACTGTAAAATGACTGTGATGACTGCCAGTAAGGATCTTTCCGATACGACTTCAAAAGGGAGGGATAGGGCGCACAGATTGGGGAACGGCAGTGCAGCACAGGGAGCAAGGACTTTAATGTCAGGGAGCCTGAGTTATAAATTTAAGAGACTCCCACACCTGGAAAGTATCTTCTAGATCCTCTAATCCTGGCCCGTCAACTTACAGATAAGGAAATGAGCCACAAAGCAGGTAAGTGGCCGAGTTTCAGGCAGCGGAGCCGGAAGGAGCAGCGGGTACTCACTCCTCCGGCTCAGACCCGCGTCGGAAGCCGCAGTGGGGACCTGGGCGCGGTCTGGCCCACCTACCTGCTGTTGAGCGGCCGGACCCGCACGCACACTGCGACGGCTCCCTCCTCGGCCATCCTGCCGGGTTGGAGCCAAGAAAACTGTCGAAGACCCCCCGCGCCCGGCGCTTCCGAGCGCACCGGCCACCCCGCCTTTAAATTTAAAATTTCCCAAACGCCGCGTCTGATTGAGTCGCGGCCTCGTGACGTCACGGGCCGTTCCACCTCCGTCGCGGCGCGGGGGCGCCAGGCCGGCGGCGCGTCCACGGATAAGCGGAGGGGGTGGGTTATGTTAAAGGGTCTGGAGGAGGAAGGGGTTTGGGGGTCGCAGAGAGGGGTCCGGGAAGCGCCTGGCAAGCGGCTCTCCAGGTAATAGCATAAATAACTAATATTTGCTAAACACCGTTGAAGTGCAGTAGCCGTTTACAAATGCTGTCCTCCACCGCACCCTTGAAGTTTGCAATCTGTGGGAAAAAAAACGAAGCAGAGAATTTTTTCTTCACTAAGAGAGAATTAGGACCTTTAAAGAATTACACTAACAGTTGCTTTTTTAAAGTTAAAAACAAAAACAAAAAAATCCTCAAAAATTCCTCAAACGACGAGAGTTGGAAGTCACTGCCTAGCCCAGAAACGGAAGAATCTTGTACTCCTTCAAAACTAGGAATTTTAGGTTCTTCCTTTCCTTTGATTTTCTTTGAATTCCGTTTTCCATTGGCTGTGAGTTCCTAAGAAGCTGACGTAGGAAGAAAAATATTGAAGATTGGAAAAAACTCATTTAATAGGTGAAATTTTATTAGCAGAAATGGGAAAGTGATTCTAAATAATTCTTCCCCAGAAATAGTGCTTCGTTTCCTTTGTTTTAAATATGTGTCATAGTAAAAATATTAACTTTTTTTTAGGAGTGATTTCAGTCCTTGGTTGATTTAAGGAGGGTCGGGAATTATCCCCTTTTCTCTCACCAAAAATACGACCTGCAGTTCCTAATAATTTTTCACTACTTAGAGGAGTAGAAAACTACACACTTTGTAAAACTATTTTAGAAGATAATATGGCAGTATCAATAAAAAAGTGAAGGTACATATGTCCTTTATGCCAGCTATTCTGTTTTTAAGAATTTATATGTATTTGAAGGATTGTGCAAGGATATATATAGCTATCAGTTGCAGCATTGTACACAATAGCTAATGACAGAAAACACATTAAATGCCAATAAGAGACTAGTTAAATGGATGGCGTTTTATCACTGCAGTGAAACATTTTGTGGCCGGTAGAAAGAATGATGTAGCTCTTTATGGGTACCTTAGAAACCCATCCAAGATGTTTCATTAGCTAAAAGAAAGACAAGTACAGGCTTGTGTATACAGTATATCCAATTTGATATTTTCAAAGGATATTTATATGTCTGGATATGCATACGTAATTTCTGGGGAAGAATATACCTAGATTCCTTGGAAAGGGAGGACTGAATTAGATAAAATATCTATCTTTCATTGTATACTGTTTTATGAATATTGAACTAGCTAGTAGAAAAAAACCAGTAAAATAAAAATGAATTTGTTCATTCAAGATTTGTTTTGGTTAACCAACTGTGAGCCAGTATAGACTACAGTTTTTTTGGTGGCTAAGCTTTGAAAATAACTTGGCTGTATCTAATAAGGTAATACAGAGTTAACAAGAGTGTGTCTTAACTGATTTTTTAAAAATGCTGGGCAAAAATATTGCACATTTTTAGCTGAAGGACAGGGGCCTGTGAAGAGGAGGAAAGGACACATAATCAAGGAAAGAAAGCCTCCAACAACAGAGAGGGGGTTGGTTCAAGAGCACAGAGGAGCCTTTCATAGTTGTGCTCATGATTGATGTCATGATTATCTTTGTTGTCATTATCATAACAGCTGACATTTACTGATGATTTGCTGTGTGCAAAGCAATCTGTTGTATGCTTTACATGCCTTTTTTTCGTGTAATTTTTCAAATATGTCATCAAATTTTCATTGAGCACCCACTTTGTGCCAGATGTGGTTCTAGGCTTAGGAGGCAGAGAGTGAATAGACTAGAAAAGACCTGCGCTCAGAAAGCTATTATTCCCTCAGGGGAGATGGATAATTCACAAATCTATATCTGTATATCTCTCTGTATGTATCTTATGTCTATGTCTATAGCTATATCTATCAAGTGATGATGAAGACTGAGAAGAAAAGTAAAGCCAAATCAGGGAAGAGGGAGTGATAAGGTGAGGGTGGTGGGGAGGTGCCAGTTTCTTATGAAACATGTTTGTGTGGGAAGAAGCAGACAATACAGAACAAATGTGTAAGCAAAAAGTAAGGCCCCTGTGACTGGAGCATTTTTGGCAACGGAGAGAGTGCCTCTGGACCTTGCCATGATAAAATGTTACTTTGATAGTGAGAGAAAGCCTATGGAAGGTTTTAAGCAAGGAAGTGAAAAGGGATTCAGTAATTCCTTCAAACAATGTTTTGTTTTATATCTCACTGTGAAAATAGAAACAACCAGAAGAAACTTTTCTCTGACTTCTGCCAACCTGTCTACCCACCTAATGTCTGTGCCCATTTACCTCGTCTTCCAGATTTCAACTACTTGAACCACTGGCTGTCCTCCACTCTGAAAATCTCTCCACGTGTGCACTAAATCCCACTCCTTCCCTTTTATTCCTGTCTGTCTCACATAGTCATTTCCCTAGCTTTAATAAACTGGTATCATCAGCAAATGCATGCCCAATTTCTCCCATCTTGGATGTCTAATAAATATTACAAACATTTTAATATCAAACTCATAACATTCCCCTGAAAACCTGCTGACTTCTGCATATTAGTTGGTGAGAAGTCCACCCTTTCAGTTCCCCAGGCTGTAAACTATGGAGATGTGATGCTTGACTTCTCTCTCAAGGGCTAAATTCAGTTTGTTTGAATTTCTATTGCGGCTACCTACGATATGTGAAAATGGAGTGTGAGAGGATGGCCGTGTCCCAGGTCTTGGTCAAGTCCCAGGGATGTGCCCCACCAAGTGAAGGTCCTTGTCTTCTTGTACGAAACAATTCAAGAGCGAGCCATAGTTTAGTAAAAGTAGGTTTATTCAGACATGCACACTCCACAGTCCGAGTGTAGGCCATCTCAGAAGGCCAGAGAGGCCATGAGGCATGGTGGTGGTGGGGGTGGTGGTGGTTGTGATGCAGGACAATGGATGTGGGGCGTAAGGAAGACCATGTCCCAGGTCTCAGTTGAGCCCCGGGGACGTGCCCTGACAAGTGTGGGTCCTTGGCTTCGCGCAGAAAAGAATTCAAGTGTGAGCCACTGTTGAGTAAAGGTAGATTTATTTAGAGAGATACATACTGTATAGAGTGTAAGACGAGAAAGGCAAGGAAAGAGGTGTGGGAATCGGTTGCTCAGGTTAAAGTAAAAGTAGGTACACACTCCATAGACAGAGTGTGGGCCATCTCTGAAGAGGGAGCGAAAAAGGGCCGCTAGGTGTGGTGGTGTCAGTTTTTAATGGGCTCAGTAGCTTCATATGCCTACAGGTGGGACCATTCCAACTGCCCTGGGAAAGGGGCTGAGATTCCCAGGGATTGGGCCACAGCCCATTCTTTGGCCTTTTCTTCTTATCCTTGGGACTGTCATGGTGCCTGTGGGCATGTTATTTATCACGCTGTTACAATGAGCATATAATGAAGCTCAAGGTCTACTAGAAGTCAAACCTCTTAATCCTTAAGGCCAACTAGAAGTTGAATCTTCCACTATTCTGGTGAATCTTCCACCATTTTGGTGTTAAACTGCTGTCATTCCTTGAGTGGCTGTGCCCTGCCCCCTTCCCGCCTGTCTCAGTTGAAGTAAAATAGACACACACTCCATAGATAAAGTATGGGCCATCTTGGAAGGTGAGGGAGCAAAAGGCCACAAGGTGCAGAGTTGGCTAGTTTTTATGGGCTTGGTAACTTCATAGGCTAACAAGTGGGAGGATTAGTCCAACTACTTTGGGGAAGGGGTAGGGATTTCTGTGAATTTGGCCACCGCCCACTTTTTGACCTTTTATGGTCGGCCTTAGAGCTGTCTTGGCACCTGTGGGAGTGCCATTTACCATGCAGATATATTACAATGAAGTTCAGGGTGTTCTGAAAGTCAAATCTCCTGCTATCTTGCTCTCAAGTTTTCCTGAATTGAATCTTCCACCATCTAGGTGCTAATTGCTGTGATTCCGTTATTGTTTGTGCCCTGTCTCCTTCCTTCCTGTCTCACCTAGAAAATATTCCAGAATATAACCATTTATCGCAACTTCTACTGTCTACCTGGTCCAACATTTCTACTTTTGTTTTGCTCCACACCCCTCCCCCGCCCCCCTAAGTCTATTCTCAACATAGCAGTTTTAGTTGATCCTTTGAAAATGTAAGTTAGATCATGTTAATCCTCTCTCAAGACCTCCAGTGCCACCCTGCCTGGATTTTTTTTTTTTTTCCAGAATAAAACCCATAGTCTCAGCTGTCTCCCAGGCCCCGCTCCTTGTTGCCCCTCTGGCCTAACCTGCTACCACTCTTCCTTTTGCTCTCTCCACTCTAGTCACACTTGTCTCTTGGTAGTTTCTTGAATTCTAGACAGACGCCCTCTTTGTGCTCTCTGCCTGGTAGGCTCTTACCTAGATACCCAGGTTTCCTTCTTTCACTTACTTCTGGCATCTGCTTACATGTCATCTTCTCAGAACTCTCTCTGTATAAATAACAACTTTCTTGTCTACTACCTCTGTTTCTTTACTTTTCTTTTAAAATACTACTTATAACTTTCAGATACAATATATATGTATTAATTTATGTTTATTTTATCTGCCTTCTCCCACTAGAGTGTTAGCTCTGAGAGGTTAGTGACTTAGTTTTGGTTTACTTCTAACCCTAGAAAGATACTTAGACTATCATAAACATTCAACTTAAAATTTTGTTTATTCAGTTACTCAATAAGTTGACATTTATTACTAAATAATACTACATACAAATTGCCATATTCACTTGCTCAATAATATTGACATAATTTTTGGAAAGATACACGGAATACACCTAGTTTCTTTTGAAGAGCAGGACTGAGTTAGAAAATACTTTCATTGTATACTATTTCATAATTATTAATATCTTAATTAGTGAATATTGACTAGTTTCTCCCAACTTTAAGAAATTGATCAGTAGATTAAACACTGTAACTGAAATAGTCTGCTCTTTTATAGTCTATTCAGTATTTGTTTGGTTAACCAAACGTGAACTAATATAGGTGACTTTTCTCATAGCTAAATTGTGAAGATGCTGGGTTGTATCTAATAAGAAAACAGAGTTAAGGAAGCTATATTTCA